CTCCAGAGCTGCAAGCAGAGCTACGCTACTCTGCTCCTTCTGGGAGTACGCCGTGGTGGCCGTGGCGCGAGATTCGTGCCCAACGTCCCCAACGTCCTTGTTCGTGCCGCATTCGTGCGCGCGCGGCAATTGCGCTTTTCTTTTTTTGTGGAAACTCATTGTTTTTTTGTAATATGGTCAAGCATGAATTTTTGTCATCACCATACCACCTGCTGTGCCAAGTGGGGAAATAATTACTGCCGAACGCCGGATGTAGGACGCCGATCTCACTACCCCTCCGCTTCGACTACGGTAGTGGTTATGGCGTACGCCAAAATCAATACCGTAGTGGGAGGCACTCACTTGATTGAATGACGTTTTAGCGAACGCCCACGTTTCATCGAACGACACTTTAGCGAATAGTAGGACGCCGCGAAGCGGCGTTTTCGGGTGTGCCAAGTGAGTTCATATTTTTGTAATGAGTTGCCGCAGACTGTCGCCGCGAAGCGGCGTAAAGCGCAGCGCGACGGATGGGTTAACGCGAGCCCCCGTTATTCGCTAAAACGACCATTCGCTCAAATGTCGCCGTTCGCTAAAATGTCATTCGCTCTTGTGATATGGACCAGTCCCAAACGTGTGTTCCGCAGCAGGTGTGTAAAAACAAGCGACGATTCGAAGCAAAATTACAATCGAAAGCAATGTAGAGTGTGTTCAAGGCTCGCCAGCCTTTCGGTGACGTTTCTATATTGATAATATGCCAGTCCTGTCACTATATAAAAATGACCCCGTCGTGCATGAGTGGATAAAAACATTCAAAACGTAGAGAATAAAGTCCGTGGGCTATAAACGTTGTCTCTTCGTATTGTTTTCTCTGCCGGGCAGCTTTTATCGGGCACATGCATTCTCAAAGATTTCGAGCGTGCGAGTGAAATTTTGAATGTAGATCAAGCAGCTTCGCTCAGAGCAGAAAGAATAAAACGGTACTTACTTATTTAAAATAGGAATAGATTACGTGGCCTTCAATTAATTTTGATCGTATACACGTTTGCCAGTCCGGTCTCAGAGCGCCGCCATCTTCCTCAGTGGGGTGCGCTCTTGGGCGCGGCCATAATCCGATTGCGACGCCTTAGCAAGGCTTCGTAATCGGATTATGACTCGTCCAAGCGCACCCCAGCCAAGCAAGATGGCAGCGCCCTGAAGCCGGACTTGCAAACGTGTATACACGTTTGCAAGTCCGGTCTCAGGGCGCCGCCATCTTCCTCAGTGGGGTGCGCTCTCGGGAGCGGCCATAATCCGATTACGACGCCTTAGCAAGGCTTCGTAATCGGATTATGACTGGTCCAAGCGCACCCCAGACAGGCAAGATGGCAGCGCCCTGAAGCCGGACTTGCAAACGTGTATATGCACGTCTAGTTACTGATCCGGTGTTACTGCGCAGTTCTTGCCGTCTTTCTTAATTTCCAGATGTTCTTCGTTCGTTTGGCACGTATATCCCCCACGCTGAAAAGCGCCGACGTCGTGTTCGCGCTAACAGTGTCCGACAGTGCACATAAATACAGGGTGTCACAAATGAAAATTTACACGGTCTTTTTTACCGCAAGAATAAACTAGGCATCGCCGAACGCTCGTTCTCCGCCCTAAGGTAGAGCTAGAGGTCACAACCAGATGCCAAAGTTTCAGCCCGATCCGATAACTTTCTGAAAATTTCAATGGGAAAATGGAGCCCAGTTTCGCCCGTTTTCGGTTTCTGGTGCCATAGAGCCCCATGTGTTTGAAAACTCCGTCGGCCGCCATTTTCCCATTGAAATTTTCAGAAAATCATTTATAACTTTTGATTAAGTTATCGGATCGGGCTGAAACTTTGGCATCTGGTCGTGACCTCTAGCTCTACCTTTGGGCGGAGAATGAGCGTTCGGCGATGCCTAGTTTATTTTTGCGGTAAAAAAGACCGTGTAAATTTTCTTTTGTGACACCCTGTACATGTACGAAGATGTTTTAGCACCGTTTTTAATGCGATGAATTACAAAGAAAAACACCGTAACTGACCATTTATTTCGTCGGCCTGACTGAGAAATGTTCCATGCTACCTAGTACGTATGAATTATTCGGGATATTTGCTCATGATCGAGCGCAGAGAGAAAATGCACTCACTTTTTCCCATAAAAATGCACTACCGGAAGTCAATTTTCGACAGGTTGCTGTCTGCTGTCTCAAGTGGCGCTAGCACACTAGCGCCACTTGAACCTCTAGCGTACATTATAATAACTCTATGCTGACACCAACGTCACTAACACTCAGTTGGGAAACTCCCATAGAGACAGCCCTAAAAATATGACCCCAATCTGTCTCCGAGTATCGAGCTAATGACGAACACAACGCCACCATTTCTCCCGCAGCGGCCACTCGAGAAACTGCACGTGACTTCTATTTTTGGCTTTGACAGGGGTGAACCCCTGTCTCCCCGGCGGACGCGCCGCATCCAACTACCGAAGTTAAAATGCACCTAGGTCGGGACGCGCTACCTGAAAGGCCCGCTGAGGCATGGTTTTATGAAAACAATATTAATTGTTCCGCAAAGCCTTGCAAACTAAAGATGAAAAAAACATCACGCGCCCATCATTTGGTACTAAACTCCACTAAATTTAATACAAAAAGAGTTTTTTCCGTTTGTTTTTACGCAAAAACAGGCTTTCAAAAAGCTCGAGGTGATTACAGTACAGACAAACGATAAAGAGTGGTGCTGTTGTCGCATTTAGCTCGGTCTCGGTGGACGCCAGCGGCCCAGGTTTCGACGGCGAGTTTCCCAACTAAATGTTTTAGTAACGTTGGCCGACACTGAAAAAGTGTACAGTATGTACTACAAACAGTATTTATGCCCCTACCTTCTGAACTGCGAAATAAAGTATGAAATATGTTTCAGCCAGTTGGCACTCACAATCTCAATCTCAGCATATTGGACACTTGAATTTCAACATGTCGGGTAGAAATGAACACATCGATAGTTAAAGCGTCACCAACGTCACTTCAAATTTTCTGCTAAAGTTCCCACTGTGACATTGCAGCTCTAGCACTCCAGGTGTGTAGATAAAAACCGAGCCTCAAATCAAAGAAAAACACATTCAAGCATGTGCATCAGGTCATGGCAGGATGACAATGGCATCCCTATATTTGTTACAGGAAAACAGGAAAGAAATTAGTGCTGCAATATAAACAAAAATCTTACTACGGGGATGAGTTGAGCAGTTGGGTGGAACCAGCTGAACAATGAACATTGTTCAGCTAGTTCCAGACGTAACATAAAAAAAAAAGAAGAAAAAAAGTTTAGCAAGAAGGCTACAGGATGACAAAACTGGAAGCACCTTCCTGAAGATGATGGATGAGTTCCTTCCCGAGTTGGAAGCCCTGCGCATGCAGTGGGACGTGTGCATTTTTATGCAGGATGGTGCGCCACCCTCTGGTCGACGGGTAAGGCACACAGCTGGACAATATCTTCCCAAGACGCAGGATGGGGCGGGGATCGCCGAACATGCCGTGGCCGCCCCGATCGCCAGACCTCACGATATGAAACGTTTTCTTTTGGGGGGGGGGGGGGGGGGGGGGTTGTGAAGTCCCAGGTACCATTTGCTCTCATCACGGATGAGATGCGAGCTGCTGCATTCGAAGAGTATGTGACCAGGCTTGGCCTCTGCGCTTGGCGTCTAGGAGGCCCTGGTTCGATGTGGGAAGTGTACGGCTTATTTATTTTAATACCGTGATAAAGGCTCTTCTTAGGGCTGCCAAATGCTGTCGTCACGGAGCCTGGCTGCTCTTGACGCGCCTGCTCTCCCGTGTCTCTGAATGCCCGTGCAAATTAGATTCTTTGTATATGCCCTCTTCCCCCCTCAGACATTGCTCGCTTTATTACCTTTATCCTATGCAGTCCGGTGTCGTACGCAACGTTACACATGTGAATCAGTGAAAGACTCGCGTCACAACAAAAATGCAGAGCCAGCTGGTGAAGCAACAAAACATCTTAATCCACTATAAACAAAGGCAACCCTTGGCCGATTGAAGCGTTATCTGTGAGATGCGGACGCCAAACAGAGGCATTTCATCTGCTGCTTCTCACGGACAGCCATGGGCGTACCAACAGGGGGGGCAAGGGGGGTGCTTGCCCCCCAGCTCTCAGGTGGCGGGGGCAAGGTATGTGTTTTGCCCCCCCTGAAACAGCCGCCACTGGGCAGGGCAAACACTGGCCGGCGTTGCCCGAGGGATACCAAGGGCACTGCTGCCTGGCCCTGGGGGGGGGGGTCTGGTTTGCCCCCCCACTCAAAAACAAGTTGGTACGCCACTGCGGATGGCGCCCTCTCACAGGCGAAAACAGTTTTTGACCTCTAACATTTTATTCCGGTAATGGTAAGTGTTGATATTTTGGCATCTTGCTCGAACAAATGAGGCTATGTTTTGACAGAGTTGGAGCTTCTCACAATGCCTAGCTAATTTTTGCGGTGCGAAAAACCGGATTCGGATTTCTTACAAACGCCCAGTAGTACATCTTATCATTGGTGCGCTGTTCGAGGCAGTTAGTTTTTTGCGTTGGTGTAGGCCCCAAAGAAAAGCGCGAGTACTTGCTGCCGCAAAGTCTGTCTCAAACAGCGCATTAATGATAGGGTGGTACAGTTCCTTCAAAGCACGTAAAGTGCCGTTTTTTTTTAAGTTTGGTGCAAGTTACTTGGGACACCCGTTAGATGAAAAAAGATCCCATGTATTACAAGATTTGGAATTTTGGCAAGAAATTTGCTTACGAATGTTAGTATGCCTATGCTGCTTTTCAGAATCTTTAGAACACTACCTACGGTGCAGTACCAAATCTCAAAGGCATTATATTTTAGAGTATGTCGACCTACCTAAAAAAAAAATGAAGCTTATGGGTTTAGCTAGACTAGAAAGGTGAGGAAAACCTAGAGAGACCTGCATGTACAGTGCGGAGTGCCCCTTCTTTCCAGACTAGTTATCACACTTATCCCATACCGGAGTCAATGCACAGTCAACTCGAGGCAAAGCAGATGACGGAGAAGCCTTGAGAACTTTATTTATATGCCCCCTGGTAAGAATAGAACGACACTCAAACGATGGCTTTTCCATCATGTGGAATTGTGAAGGACGCGATTGAAGGCGTTGTAGGATGACTCCAGGTCGAAAATCAGCTGGCGGACCTGGCTCTCGTTCAGCTCGTCCGACGCAGCCATTGAAGACATTGTCTGCAACCTGCAAGAGTAATTCACATAACTTGTTGGAAAGTCGCAAGCAGCTTCTTCACGGTTTCGTGACTCAACGTTACCACTCGCCTCGCTGCATTTTAGACAGCTGCGATTATTTGAAAATGGCCAAAGCAAAACAAGACCAACTCAAGTCCAACTGCTGGTGGAGTGTTTGTGGTTTCCACGAATGAAACGGCGGCAGTAGAATGTAGACTGCAGCTCCCTCCGATGGAGGCATAGCGGGTAGAACACGTCCCTGACTACCGTAAAAGATCGAAAGTGTGCCCATGTCACACAGTAATGGCTCACCCCCTACTTCTGAAAAATTTAATATCTTGTCAAACTACATATCAAACGCCACTTCCTTATTTTAGACGGGTTCAAAACTGTGTGGAAGAGACATCAAGCGTCTAGTCGCTGTGGGCGGTCGCTATCCTGCAACCGGCAGGGGTGAAGCAGAATGGAGACAAGGGGTGCAGAGTCAAAAGGAGGGAGATAGTGAGAGATGGGCTGCTCTTTTGTTCGAACCTAGAAGAGTCATTCGAAGACTTCAGCGAAAAAGACTACTAGACAATGCGTAATAGACCATTTTAGAATTTTTCTCAATAAACTATTTACCGCGAGGGGCACTTTTTCTTCGTCAAAGGTAGCACGGACATTCTGTTTTTACGCGTTGGCATGATGAATAGCTCGGTAAATGAAGGCCATTTTTAAATCAGTGGTGTGACAAGCAAGGGCCCGCCCGACTGAACGCACCTGCTGCAACGTTGCTCTCGAACATAGCAAGCACCCCCCCCCCCCCCGTTTTCCATGATTATCTCCCAATTTCGAGCGGGCATCGAATTGGCATTTTTCCGTAGTCTGTTTACCGCGTCCTCGAATGCAGTCTCCCAATCTCTACGCAATTACGGCGCAGAAGTGCCAGGCTGTTGCGTGCCACGATCCTGGTGATGGCACAGCAGCAGGATGCTGCAGGTGACTTTCCAGCTTGCTAGTCGACGGAAGCTTTGGCAGCAAACAGTTGGGAAGCAGCGACGACAGCGACACTCCCTCACGCTTCCTGCCGGAACTTCTACAACCAACTGCCAGGACCACGACGGCGGTTGATATGAGATGCGGGCTTGTACGACGTCCTCAATTGCCTCTCTCGACGCACGGGTGATGTGGAACCCTAAACGCATGCCATTCGAGGATGCGTTCCAAGCAGTGTAGCGGAAGGCACCCACCATTCGTCCACCTTTGCCTTGCCCTCGAAGTCTGCGGGGATGAGGCTGAGCCGGTTCATGGTCTCGCTCAACTCTCGCAGGTCGGGGTGCAACTGCGCACAAAATGCGAGGGCTCGTACCAGGGGTCATGCGGAGCTCACGGATCTCACACACATTCTTCCGACTCTCCACGCAGGCACTTCTGACGTACAAGTTTCAAAGCTGTTGCCTTATATGGGAACCTCTCCACATGCCCTGCTTGCTCGTGTCAGTCTGACCGCATAATGTCGCAATGTCACGTGATGTCAATTTAACTGCTCAATTTATATCACAGTTTTAAGGCATGGTGCCTTAGCGAATAAATCATTGCAGCGTCACATGAAGCCACAAAGTCGTGTGCCGTCAACTGTCGCAAACGTAACATTGCAGTATCCCCGCTAAATCTAGCGGGGAAATATATCTGCACACCGTACAATCCCATATGGACACCCTTCCCCCGAGAAATCGCCCATCCTGTTTTTTTTAGCTGAATATCATTAACAAAAAAATTCTGAAACGCTGCTGGACACTACGTAATGTCCGATGGGAACTGCCTAAACCACACAATCTTCAATACCAGTATTTGTGACAAGTGAGTTTGTAGTGGGTGGTTCCTGCATGTTTATAGCACCGAGACACAAGAGTCTGCGATCTGCAGAATCCGTCCCCATGACATGAGAGTTCACGGCAAGAGCTAAAGTGCACAAAGCCAGAGATTCGCCGGTCTTTGCTAAAAAGTTTGTGTTAAACAAATGCCAATAGATGGTAACCCTATTACACCACTTGTGTTTTAGTTTTTGCTTCTGACACCAGATAATATTTTGTTTCATAATTTTATGCACTGAAAAACAAAAAAAAACGAGGAAATTTGCAGTTGTTTTTTTTAGCAAGAACATGATGTCCCGGCAGAGTACTATAGACCTGAGAACATCAACTTTTATTTCTTTTATCTGTTGTGGCTCCAAGTGTACCTTGGCCACTACAAAGTCACGGTATCCCAACAGCTCGAGAGCAGCTCTGCTTTGAAAACAAAAGCTGGATGACCCGTTTTTCTCAGAAATGATTACCTTCCAGGACAAAGGCAGGCCTCTCGCGAGATGCCTGAGGGCTGAGCAGATAACTCATTGGGAAGAGATAACTCCATTTTTGGTTTCTGAGAGAAGGCTTTAAAAAACCCACGAATGTTAATGTTCCGTACACACATTGAATTGCTCTGAGGGAAAATGCAATCGTTTGAAGGCAAGCCATGCTCCGTTTCAGCTTACAAAGAACTGCAGCGTGGACCCTGTGAGCCATCAAAGGCAATCTAGTCCCGTGCAAATGTCGTGCGACTTTCGGGAGGAGCGCAGTGACGTGCGGGAAGCACAGTCACGTGATATGTTCACAGCGCTGGACTGCCCAAAATGGCTCGTGGGGTCCGCTGTGGTCCATCGTACGGCGAATCGGAGTACACCCACAGCTCTCACGATGGTGCAACTCAGGAGAGGCAAGTGAAAGAGCAGTCCTCACCTCGTCCATGGACTTGATCTCCAGTCGTAACTTGTCAATGATGGTGATGAAGAGCTGCGAAGGGAGAGAGCGCCTGCTCAGTCAGGTCACGGCAGGCAGAGGAGGGAAAGACAAAAGCGGACGACGGCACATACCGAGACGATGTCGGCTATGCACTTGCTGGTGTTGCCCTTGTCGTCCTTGATGGTGATTGGCCGATCCTCGCGAATACGTTCCATGGCTGCAGGACAGTCCAGCTGAGGTAGAAAATGGACTAAATTTCGTTTTACCAGAATAATCCCACTGACCTTGATAACTCGGGGAACATGCATCTCTATTTAGGGATAGCCAAAAGAACGTGTCCTGCACTTGGCATTGTTGCAGTGAGGCAATACAAAGGCCCAGAGTATTTGTAATAGTACTAATTAGGGATATTGCAAGCTGTCGATGAACATCGGTTTGGGGAACCTTTAAACTTCTTGCAAAGTTGGACGAAGTTTGACTTAAAGGGACACTGACAGGGTATTTATGCTCGCCGAGGTTTTTAGTTGTACGTGACATATGATAGCTCAACTACCCAGAACAGAATTTGCGGCTCGAAATTCGGCTTCTTTCCACCCGAAAACCACCGATCAAGAACTGGCCTGTTCGAGTCTCGCTCACTCTCTTTTTCGCGGTCACGGGCCGTTTTCTAAGGTATCGATGCGACCACCAAATTTAATCAAAGTCGTGGGTCACTGAAGGCACACACTCAATATTAAAAATAGAAAAAAAATATGAAACCCATTTTTCGTGGCTTCTAAAAAGCTGTAAATACGTTGATTGAAAAAAAAAAAGTTCCACAGACAACCGGAAGCATTCTGTGCGTTCGTCGTTTCGCGTGACTCGCGGGGACAGCGATGGCAGCGGACGACGGGCGTGGGACCTCTATTTCAGAACTGTCGTTCGCGGTACCGGCGAATTCTGTCTACCGTTAAAATAGAAATTTGGGACTGATCAAAAGAATTGGTATTCATCCCGTACGACACGCCCGGCCACCAAGCCGATTTGCACGAAGACGTCGCCGAGCCGTCGCTCCCTTCTCGTGGCTGAAGACATCGCTCGCGCAAACGTCAAGCACGACGTGTCTACTTCGAGTTGAATATGCATGCGTACGATTTCTTTATTAGGTGCGAATGTCAAAAAAAGCGTGGTGCTTCCCGACTTCGACCCGGGAGTGCTTTTGCTAGAGAAAAATAGACAGCAAACTTTCCAACTTACAGTTTACCGGCTGAATTATTACCAAGGAAAGAGATCCACCAGAAAAGAGATGCCCCAGTAGCTGAGTGGGAAAGACGTCCGGTTCACACGCGGTAGGACCGGGTTCGATCCCCCGTGAAACTTTGTTATTTTTTTTTTCAAACATTTTTTGATGTTTACATAACTTTTTCTTTTTTCTTACAATCATCACTGAAGAAACAAACAAAAAAATAACAAACAAATGTTGTGGACGATACTTCGCTGAATTAAATAGTATGGGATTTCCGTTTTGACACCTGCGAACTCAATGTAATCACTTTCCACAAAATGCAAGGAGTATATAAATCAGGTAGCTTCTGCTTTCCGAGGTGCCCATATATGTTCTACAGGAATTTCAGCCAGCCATTGGTTCCGATCCCGTTGATCTTTCGGAAACTCTGTCGCACAATGCCACTTTTTTTCAGGTGCAGGACATGTGAGCCAGCTCTTCACGCAACATCTTGGGTGTATTCTTTTCGGAGCCGATCATGGAAATTCACCACGGGCACTCACTACTCATCTCCAACTCCTCAATGTACAAAACAACTCATCTTGGAGTACAGAACAACGAGCGGAACAAACATAACTGCAAACGAATCGCACGCCGCATGTCGTGTCGTCTGCTACAGAGAGGAAAAAAAAAACAAAAAACGCACGGTTGGGTGTAGCCACGTGACTTCCGCCACTCACTCTCTTCTCTCCACTTCTCCGACCTCCGTCGGGTTTCGGTTTCGAGCAGTTGCGTCTTTTGGCTTTATTAAAAAAATATGCTACTCTGTTGCAAAATATTAATTGGGTAATCCTCCGACACCATATTAAAGCGCCTGGCAAAAAATAAAAAAAAATTTTTTGGGAGGTGTCAGTGTCCCTTTAAGAACAGTGCTGCCCGGCTTCGACACAAAGATTTCTAACTTTGGGAAACCAAAGTACTTTATTTTTATATTTTATAAAATGGATATCAATGTTTACACAATTTAAAAGTGCAAATAGGTAATTTTAATGCTTTCGTTAGTTAGTAATGCGAACCAGTCAAGCAATACAACTAACAAATATTGCATGCTTCCTCTGGCAAGGCCCTTTTGCAAATCAATGCGGGTATTTCTCCCGGCGGTTGACTCACGCGCGAAAGATATTTTTTGGTCACATGACTGCTTTTGTGGGGACAAGGTACCCATAAAAAAATGCCACATCTACTATTTTTTGCTACGTTGCCAAGGCTAGCATTGCTTTCGCATCACGGAACCTCGGCACTGCTGCGAGAGCCTGTGGCTTGGTCTTGCGTCTCGTTCCCACACACTGTTGTACGAAGGAGACGCCAAACGAAGTGACGCATTTGCGCTAGTAGCTTTTACAGCGCTAGACCACTGTGGAAGCTGTGCCAGCCTCGACTCTGCAGCACAAAATAGTCGACGCCGAGAGAGGAAAATGGCTCCCATAATTCCGTCCTCGCATCAATAATTAAAGTGTGCTTTTGCGCGCAGACTTAAAACGTAAGTGAAATGAATTCCATTTGTGTACTTTAAACCCTTGCCTATTAATTGTTTTTCTTCAAGGAACATACAGCAACATTTTATTTTAAACGGGCAATTTGCATTAAAATAAGACAAAAACAGTTCCTCGACTTCCAGGTGCCATACCTTGATCTAAATCAAGACTTCTGGACCGAGTCCCACTGACGTGTAGACACCAAAGTTGATGGAATACTTGCAGGATTTACATTATTTTCATCACTCCTATCACTGCCCATCAAACTATTGCCGATTCCTAAAAATAGGAAAGGCCGAGGAATTTGTTGCCACATATGCTTGGACATTTATCCAGTCTTGGGCAGTAAATAGTTACTAGTAATGTATAACCTGTAACTAGTTACTTTTTTCAGTAACTTGTGGCTGTAACTCATTACTGCTTAGTGAAAAAAAACTTCTCTAACTGTAACAGTGCTACTATTTTTTTAAAGTAACTGTAAAAAGTAATGTCGTTAGAGTTACTTAATTCCAAGTTTCATGTGCAAAACTATTGCAAACAAGACCACCAAATCGTTGTGTAACTCGTGAGAGAGTCCTAAGTCCTGGTACGGTAAGGGCAAAGCAAAATCTGCTGAAGAAAATGTCTGGAGCAGGAGGGGAAAAAAAAAAAAATATAAAGAAACTAAATTTTGGATGACCCTGCCTGGCCAAGCTAGTCCCGCCAACTGGGAGAATAGGGACGTTTGTGTTCGTACCAGCCGTACATGGCACATCGCCCGCAGCGCACACAGATGTAACAATGCACCGCATCTCTAAAGAGTTCTTTTCTTTGCCTGGCAAAGGGAGTAAGTGCTTTTTGTGGAAGACAGTTTTTGGTGATTGTCGCCCAAAACGCCCGCAGGCTTACGGAACAACCGACTTTCTGAACCTCGTCCTCTTGCCGCCAAGCATACGTTTCCTTTCCCTCCAATTTCAATCAACCAACTCCCAGATGCACTCTTGCGAAATCTCGACTTCAGACCCATTTTCTCTCCCTTCCTTTCTTTTTTTTCACAACCAAATTACCAGCCTTGCCTCCCGTCACCCACTTCTTGTCCCTTCCCGGGCCACATCACTTGAGAAAGAGCATTCGCTCGAAACGTCCGTGTCGTTCTGCTTGTTTGTGTGTTTTCTTGAAATTGAAAAACCGCCCTTAGCCAGGACCAGGGGCACTTGGCATCAGTCGATTTATAGATGTTCATGTCCTTGGCTTTCCGGGTGGTTTCTTCCATTTCAAGTAGTGAGATGGAGGAGCACACGCAGTGGTCGTTTGTACCTCGATCGGTGCTTATTTTGACAGAGGAAGTTTACGCAACATTGTTCTCCAAGTTTTCAAAAGAAGCTTCGTGTTTCATGAAAGATTGTGGGCACACGGCGGTGTCTCATTTTGCATAGCTGAGGTGGCGAAGTCTGTTCACGTAGACGATCGGCAGAGTGCTGAGGGATCTATTTATGCTTTCTAGCATCGATTGAATGTGCCACGATTCAATGAAAAGTCTCTGTCTGGGATTGGTCTGAATGGCGAGGATACTGGTGTTGGCAAAGTCAATCCTGTGGTCCTTGATGCCGCAGTGCTCAGCTACGGTGCTGCGTTCATGGTCGAACTTGACAACGTCGTTCTTATGCTGGCGGATCCTCTCCTGAAAGTTCTTTGTTTCACTGCTCGGTCTCTGAAGAAGAGACCCAGCAGCTCTTGAAATGTAGGGTTCTGCCTTTAAACAAGGATTTGGTTGGTGTAACTGAAAGTTCCTTTTGAATGTTTTCTAATGTTTTTTTCGCAATGTAAGGACAAAGTAACTTCGTTACTTTAGCAAAGTAACTGCAACAAGTCACTCTTTCAATTTTGTAACTAACTGGAACAGGGTTACTTTTTTTGCCTGAGTAACTGTAACTGCAACATTTTTACATTTAGCAGTAATGTGTCCATGACTGCGTTAATCACTTAAAAAAAAATGAAAGACGTTTACAACTCCTTGTAATGCCGAATTAGAGTGCAGCTCTTGAGGAGGAGGAGGGGAAGGTACAGAGGGGACAGTGTGCACCTAAGAGCTGAGCTCTAAAAGAATGTTTTGTATCACTTTGTCGGCTAAAGTGGACCTCCGTGTCAAAGCCACGTGGCTTTAGCGTGAACGCTCGCAAGCAACTTTTTTTTTCTTGGCTGAATAGAGTGCTCTCTTTCTGTCAAACAGCAAAACAAACGAGCAAACTGCCGAAGGTAAATAGAGCAACAGGGTTGGTTTTGCCCTCTGCCAGAGAGCGTGCTAAACAAGTGCCGAAATCAAAATGTGAGTCACACTCGTGGTCGGGCTTTATGGTTTGTGATGGGTGACAGTCGTTATTAGTAGGCAAGGGGTTAAAGGCCGACGACCAGACTCCAGATTCTGCAAGGCAGAAGATCCTCCTCACCCTGGGAGAGGAGGAACCAGGCAACAGTGGACAGGATAGAAGCGGGGAGAGGAAAAAGCCAGGAAAGAGCGAACTGGTCGAGTTAAAGGGGCACTGACAGGTCAAAATCATGTTTTCTCTTATTATCCGGAACGATGAAAAAAGATGCCTGGACATTGCCTCCCAAAATTTGAAACTTGGGAACTCGGTATTTGTGAAGTAAATAAAAAATTTCCAAAAGCCAAATGCCCAAAAGCGTCGTGTTCGCCCGCGTCCCACAATCAACCTTTACGTGAGCGACGTGACTGGTCACGTCGCGCCTGTTCTACGTGGAAGGTTGCCCTGGAGGAGTCGCAACCGAAACTACAGTACACAGACACCAAACCCAGTTGTTTTAACCGTTCGCTGATTTCCTTTTCAAAATCTGAGAGGTCATCGGGCACCTGAAAAGAGAACTTTGTCTGATTCCCCGGCTCACCGATCATCCTTGGTGCTATGTGTGTCATGCGCCGCCATGTTTTCCGAGGGAGCATTAAAAGCCAGGAGGCGACATCACTCGAGACTCGGATTTTTGTTATCGCAAAAAGAACAACCGTAGAGCGATCGCAACAGCGTTAAAAACCACGTTTCACAAATGGCGTTGTTAAATATTATAAAAATGTTGCTTACAAAGCTTGTAAATTTCATAATCGATTAAGGCACAAATAAAAGGAAGCGAGGAGGTAAGAAAAATGCCCCCCCCCACCCCCCCCCAAAATAAGCGCGCAAGCAAATTTTTTTTTTTTTTTGCATTGCATTTTTTTTTGCATGTCTATTACAATTTGCATTGTTTAGACAACAAACATAAATAGTACAACCTTTGGAGTGTCAGTGCCCCTTTAAGAGTAGCATGTGAAGTTATTTTAGGGAAAGATTGTGTTAGGCGAGAATCAAAGAAAACGGTCAAGGATTATGTCTGCTGAGCGGAACTGGCTGGAACGCTAAGTGCTTCCTGCCCTCCGAGCCGGCCACATGACAAGAAAATCCCCCTTGCGGGTATTTTAGTTGCTGGGAGAGATACCCGCATTCATAAGCAAACCGCCCCAAGTTTTCACATTTTCGTGCATGCGCACAATTGTTGAACTTTAGTCGACCTTCGCATTAGAAGTTAAAGGCGGCCGAAATTCGTCCGACACAAACCTCGGCAGGTTCTTGCCATCACAAGTATAATGCCCGTAGTTATGCCTCAATAGATGGCTCAGGGTCGTTACAACAGTGCCCAAACTAGAAAAACACTTTACTTGGGGGCAGGGATGATGGCAACTCGGGAAAAATTTGAGTGCGTATTGTGAAGCTACTGGGTAAAATGATTTTAGAATCCATAATAATTGTCACCAGGATCACACAACTCCTCACAAATGCTTGCGAGAGGAGGGCCGCAAATTGCAACCATAAAGAAAATTTTTTAACGTCTCTGTAGTTACAGGCTCAATGAAATCTGATCTACACAAAACTAACAGTATTTTGTGGTCATGCTTCGTCTGGTAGCTAATGGGGAGCCTCCTTTCAAAGCAAACATAGAGGCAATGAACCGAAACTTGCCCCTACCCTTCGATCGTCTCTTATAAATACTTATTGTTTGCGGCAGCTTGGCAATGTATGTTAAAGCAATCATTCTCTAATGACATTTGAGCTTCTGCCCCTTTTATGTATTACCTTATTAGTGGTTCGAGCTACTTGGACAACAAGTAATAGCCACAAAGTATTACAGGGTGTCTAGCAAATTATTATTTTGAAATTCCTTGACTTTTCCAGGTTTTCCCTGAGAATTTCAAGTGCCTGACCATTGTGGGGGCAGTTAAATATATAACACCATTTCCACACAAGGCATTGAGCACTGTGAGGATCATTTTGCACGAGCTTAATCCAACTTGCATATTCCAAAATATGCGGGTTTGTCTAGTCTGGATTAAACGAGCACTTTCTGGCCGCCGACATCGTCAGTGAAGAGATCACTTCCGAAAACATGATGAAAACACGACGCTCGACCACACACTTCAATAACCGAATGGCAGCATGGCTGCCAGGTGCACACTTTCAGATACTTTCGGTTTAAGGCTTGGATTGGGGTCTGCGGCTTTCCAATTTGTCACTAAACCTAGTAGCTCTATCTGGATCTGGCCTAGTGTCGAGCCCTCAATCCAATCCAAAACTTGGACTGGATTTGTTAGTTGTTCCCTTTGCATCGGGTAGCACACTCTACATCGAGTGAGCAGAGCCCACGCTCTGCTCTAAGCAGAATTTATTGCCTATATTTTGGCCCCTAAGTCTTGCAAGTCTTTGCTCAGGGCACTCGATGGCGTTTCCGGCTCATTTTCCCTGACTGGGCTCGCTTTTTGACAATATCCCTGACATTTCGCAGATTTTTCCAGGTAATTAAAATTTCCCTGACAATTCCCGATTGCTAGACACCCTGTATTAGGGCATCATATTTTAACTTGAACAGGCCGAAACAGCTTTATGTCCAGTGGCAATGCAGTCTGTTGAAGGTGTGCTACCAGTGGCGTCATCAGTAAGCCTTTTGTGATCGGCAGTATCGGCAAGTGTCGTCAGAATTTTTTTTCATCAATGCTAAATAATCTGTATTACTCCGTAAATCACTGTTATTCCTTAAAAAAATCATGTTTTTGTTGAGCGAAAAAAATGTGTTCAAACGTGCAGAAAGGAGAAAAAAAAACACGACACACTCACTTCCAAGTGGGGGAATCAGCCACACCAGCCTGCACCTCATTCGGAAACCAGGATGTCGGTGCTAATCGGGGCGTGTGTGCAAAGCTTATTTCTGCGATTTGAACCTGCAGTTCTTGGCGTGTGTCATGTGCTGTTCCCACCACTCAGAACGCCACAGGGGCCAAGAGCTTGTCAAATAGACTATCCCGGCTTTGTTTCTCTTTTTTGTTTTCCTTGGCCCCATTATTAAATGTAATGGGAAATGAAAATCATTATTATTATTACTGCACATGTGCCTGCACTTATATTGAAGCTCTCGGGTGAAGCCACAAACTATCCAGCTCATTTTGATCGGTGCCATCGAGCAAAATAAGGGTGAGCACATACCCGGAACTTCTTCATGAAGGCTTCCACAGAGGAGAACTCGTCACTCTGAATCTGTTTGAAGGCAGACTTGTACTGGACCAGAAGCTTGGAGCATGCGGCCGTGTACCTGCCAAGCAGCCGGCCATTAGCGTTTGCAGCAGATACTCGCAAGATGGCGGGACTTACTCCTTGGGCGTGACGCAATCCTTAATGTACGCCTTCTCCAGGCATTGCAGGGTGTTGATGACAGCGTACAGGTCTGCCATGTTGTCGTACCTGGATGAGCAGGGACCAGAGTGCGTTGTACTGAATTTTATCATCTTTAACGTAGTTCAGAGCAACACCAGTGTGGAGTGCTATTCGTGACTAATGAGTGAGCACAAGCCTGAGGTGTACTGTACAGCTATTGTAGGGTGTATTCACGTGCAACTTGCGAGCGGTACACTTTGAGTACACTGCAATCTTCCTGTCCGTGGTAGCAGACGATGGCAGACGCACAGCCACACGGGCCTTACTCAATGACATGGCCACACTACGCCACGAATCTTCCTCTGTTTCAGGTGACCCCATGCATGAAAATGGTGTCGCACTCGAAAAAGAAAATTGGCGACAGCAGGCACTGCAGACCCCTGGTTTTGGCAAACCCTGGTAGTCCAAACAGAGAAGCGTGAAAAGGCTCGGTCAATCTCCGTGAGGAGGCAATGCGAATGCCTTGCGATCACAATCAATGTAGAAAACCTCGATGAAGATTTCAATGAGTTATGCATGTTTAAGGAACTTTGTCTCGCATCAGCCTCGGCACGGTTTGCTTGTGTCCGACATTATTTTGATTTAACAATTCGCTTCAGCGAGCTAGGCCTACTCATGGCCAAAGTTTCATTGTGACGAACAAGATGCCCGAGAGACTGGAATGAAAGTTCCTTACCGCAGAAGTGGCGGAAAATCAGCATAGAAAGAAATCACCGTTTACGAGCACACATTTCTTTGCCTCGCAGCAATATCGAAGCTTATCACTGCCGTCAGCTGCCACTGCGAAAAATCGAATGCATTGCATTCTCTCCTTTGGCTCTTTTTATTGATTCAACGTTACGGAGGTACTGCAGCAAATTTGTTTGATGACTACAGTCCTGAGTGGGCAACCACAAACATCTCGGATACGCACACGCGTTCGACAGACCCGACCTAAACAAAAGCCAACTACGCCAACACCTACTTGAGGCAAAGTGCCTCGAACATACCGACGTACTCGCTACTTGTTGCAATCTTTGTCAGGGTTATCTCTGTCGATGCAAGTGAGTCATCTGCGTTGCCTCCTCACGGAGAGCGACCGGGCCTTTATGCACGTGTGTTTGGACCCTCGGGATTTGGAAAAACCAGGAGTCTTCAAGGCCTGCCCTTCAGTTTTCTTTTCCAAGTGCGTGCTCGGTCCTCGTGTGACAGCCGACTCATGAGCAACATGGTTTTCGTGCGTGGTATCACCTGAATCGGAGAAAGACTTGCTGCATAGTGTGGCTCGTGCGGGTGCTGCCGTCTACTATCACAAACACAAAGATTACAATGTACCCAGAGTGCACCGCTCGCTAGCCGCACGTGAATACAGCCGATACCCCCCCATAGCCAACATTAATACCGTAAAATATTGAGCATCTACTCATTATACAATAAGTGCACAACCCTCAATTTTGTAACATTCGAAAAATACACAGAGGACAAATTGTTGACCTAAGAAGCACCCATCCCCTAGTTTAACACGATTATCTAAAAGTCTTTAGTGGGAGCTTGCTGAGGATTTTATGGTAAATTAGCTCGGATACGAAACTGCCCATTGATGCTGCTTGCACAAGCAGTTCCCAACCTCTCCTCCCGTCGTTCGAAGTACCACCGTTTCTGGGGGACGGCTGCTATGGCAACTGCAGTGTACTCTGTGGAATGCGTATGTTCCCAAGGACAGCATCTAGATGGCATTTCACCGTATTCTATGGAATACACAGCTTTGAAACGAAAATCTAGATGGTGCTTCCAGCGACAAGAGCCGGTGTACTGAAGGGAGTGAGGGGAGTACCCCTCTATGGGAGTTCCACATCTCAGGTAATCTAGTTGGTCATGATGTTTAATACCCGAGACTGGGTGAAGGAAAAAAGAAAGGACACTATGAAGTCAAAGAAAAAACCTCAGGAGAAGACGTCTCAACTTGAGACGTCGTCGCCTGTGCCCTTTTCTTCGGACTCTGGTTTTAAACATCATGATTAACTATCGCAAGCTCGCCTGCACACTCAGTGTCTTTTCAGTAATCTAGTTAGATTAACACAGCTAGCACTGACCTCACTTGGTCAGACACAATGGGGGAAAGGGCGTGTGAGAGCCTGAGATATGCTTCTTACTACCAGAAAGAAGGGCGGACTGACGACACATGCAAGCCATGTACATTAAACTTGCTCTTGTCAAGAACTATTCTTACAGCCCCGAGCTCGCAAAAGAATGCTAGTGCTGTCATGCACGTTGCAATCAATCGCGATTTCCCGTTTGTGGCGAACGTTGGTCCCGCAGTTGTTGCCGAGGAGTTTTGCAACACCGCAATTCCTAGCGTAAAGCATGTACTAAGCAAACTCACCCATGGGTTCACGATCATGTTGACTCCCTCGGTAATACGGCGAATGCAGCGAGATCGCACGTCCCTATCGCCGGTTTTTTTTTTCGCCAGTGGATCGCATCAGCCAAAGCGGCTAAAGATTGCACTCACTTCTCGCGTTCCCTGGACGTCCTGTGGAGTCGAACCTCTTCGTACAGCTCGGGTCTGTTGTCTGAAAGCCAGGGTGGAGATTGGAGATACGGTCAAGAGGACTTGGGCTCAAAGACTCGCAGACCAACAACAACACATCTACGCACCTTGGCTGTTCCCATGGGACGGCACCAAACCCGCGAACGATGCCATCGTAGGAGCGCTCGGAAAAGGGCACCCGTACGAATACCCGGCCGATTCTTCCTTGAGCGTTCGCCCTGACACAACCACAACACCCGTTGATGTGCTCACGTAAAGCCACTGCGCGTAAAACCGTAAAACCACTCGCCAAACGAAACCTACTGAAGCCCAGAGGCCCAAACACAGCGACACAGCCCCACGGCCCCACAGCGAGCAACAGCAAGGATCACGATGACGTCATTGAGCTTGTTGACGTCAACAGAGCGCTTCCGGTTCCGGTTCCCAAGGGCAACGATCGCAACGCCAAAAAAAAATGGCGAGGTGTCGCCACTCGGACTCGGTGTCTCTACGACACCTGTTTTGAACCTCGAAGCATTTACGCGTGAAGCTGCCATTAGTTCGGCATTCATGAGTGCCTTGACGCTGGACGCCCGAGAGGTGAGTTGTTTCGATCGGGTCACGTGAAGGGGCACCGGAAAAGGCAGTCGCCTTGTGGCTCTGCCTCCGCAACTAGCATCCAAGTCGGGCCGACGCTTATCTCGCCGACACCGTGTCCGCTTGCGACGGGCGCACCTCTTTTTCTTTTATTTGTTTTTTTTTTGTCTACTTGTTCCCCTCTCCCCCTTTTTGTTTGCGAACCAAACAGAGCCGGCGATGGATTTATTTGACGCGCCCCCGTACACAGTTGCGGCAAGAGGGGCGTATGCACTTCAGGCTCCAAACTTTGTTTATTTGTTGTTATGTTCGCACTAAGGCACCACTCGAATAACGGTTAGGGCGGAAGAGGGCCGTGCTATTCGTAGCTTCCACCGTGAAAAATGAGCCGGCATGTAATAATAGGATTAGGTGCCCCGCTAACCATGTTACGACCTATACCTTTTAGCTGTAACACGCGATCTGTGGCCTCCCTCTGCTGCCAGCCCACACAGCAGGTGCTGGCCTCTGGCACTTTGTTGACTGGAACACGCAGTGTGTGACACCTCTGGAGTGCTTGCCATCTGGTGTTGACGGTCCCCACCCTTGCGTGTTGACTGTGAAACCCAGACATTACTTGGGAACAGTGAGCTCCAACTCCCCAGCTGACACATATCTGCCCACATAATGCACGCAAACCAAAGCACTTTCTCTATCCTGATGCCAATGGTTGCTTGCAACAACTCTTTAGTTTAGTCGTGGTTAAGCTCTTCCCAGCCCCATGGATGCAATCTGTTTGTCTTCAAAAGGCTATTGGGACGGACAGTCTTTGAGCCTGCGTGTAGCAGCTTGCATCATCTGCCCCTGGAAACAGATCATTGTGAAGGACACCACACTTTAGCCACTTGGCAGATTCTCAACAAATCTTAGAAAGTGGCTGAAATGTTTGACCTGGCCAGCAAATTTGTGAAGTTTCACAGATTAGTTAGGACAGCTTTTTAGGTGACATAGGGGAAACGGAAAATACAAGTTCCCACCTGGGGGTGAGCCTGTTGACATAAACATTGTAAATAGAAATGTACAAGGAATAAATTGCTCTGCTGTCACGATACCGGGAAAGTGCATTTAGTCGCGTGCACAGAGAGGCAGGTGTGAGCATACCCAGAAACTCGTCCACGCACACATTCAGAGGCAGTTAAGCAAGCATGTAGTATTGGGTTTGGGGAACAGTAAACAACGTTTGCTGTTCTGAACATTCAAACTCCGCCCATATGTATTGCTAGCAGTTGGGACCAGAAGGCAAAGTTTCAGAACTTGCTCTTGCCCGGGTGAAGTTGTCAGCGAAGAAATTATCAATGAGGAAAGGAAGCTCTTTTTGGTAGGAGATGCTACTGATCTCTATGTATTCAAGGGCTCTGTTGGCTGATAGTTCCTCATTAAAAATTTCTAAACATCGCCTATAACATTTTAATCGGATAACGGCAAGCTTTGAAACTTTGGCATTTGGTATCAATTGCGAACACTACATTTGGATGTGGACTGAGCATTTGGTGAGCATTAGTTGACTTCTGCGGTGAGAAAAGCCTGGTTCTCTTCTCTCCCAAACACCCAGTGCAATGCACTTACTTGCATACATATTTGAACTCTACGAATAAAAAGACATGGCAGATATTTCCAAGAAGCGAAAGTATGCAGGCAAGCTGGTTTGGAAACATCATAATCTAAGCCTCGAGACAAATTATATTATTTTATTTCTCCATGTCTTAGGGTTTAGATCAGGGGTGGCCAGGCTGAACCGGCCGAAGAGCCGCATACAAAACCATGAAACTTTCAAGAGCCGGGGTAGGGGGGGCTGATTTTTTTTCAGAGGAATAAACAAAACTCAAACCACCTTCAATCTATCCGAGTCAAAAGCAGTCCAACTGTACATAAGGCAGCAGTAGCACAAGGCTACCAAACCGCAACCTGTCTTTCGATTTAAAACGCGTTCCATTTCTCTTTTGGGGAAGTGCTCGTGTGACCGGGAGGGAGGCGAAAAAGTGTGTGTGTGTGTGTGTGTGTGCGCGTGCGCGCAAGGGGGGGGGGTGTAGATGAGGGAGTTGCGAGCTGTATTTTAACACGTGAAGAGCTGCATGCGGCTCGCGAGCCACAGCTTGGCCACCCCTGGTTTGGTGCCATATTTTCCAGGCTATAGTCCGCAAAAGCAAATTTAGGGTAGAAAATAAAAGCTTTTGCTTATATAGGGCACATGCCGTGCACAGTGCGCACCTGGTGCTTAGTCGACACAAAAATCTTCTCATACAAGCACACCTTGAAAAATGTCGGCTTTCTTAGCTCACAAAGAAGCTTGTGTTATACATAAATCATCATTAACATGCTCTTTCATTCACAAAATCCGTTACGTCTCGTCATAATGAGCAATATTGAAAAACAAAATTCCTGTATAGTCCGCACAGCCTAAATTGTCATCTTTTAATCATCTATAATCTGCGGACTGTACTCCAAAAAATATGGTACATACTTAATTCGGTTTTATTGATTATACTGGTGGACATAACATACCGTAAAATACCAGGGAAGAGCCCGCCCCACTTTCACTGAAAACGGTAAAGACCAAGATGGCAGCCAATAAAGAGCTTCGAAGGCAGGGTTAACGGAATCGGAGAAAGCACTTTTAATTTTCTCACGATATCCCCGTCATCGCCACTGGCCGCCGCAATGGGATGAATATTTTCGGCTGATGCCGGCACTTTGGCGGGGGTGAGCGCATAAATTATAATTTGCAGTATTCCCAAGTTTGGGAAAATGTTAATTGTGGGCACTTGTTCAAAGTGGGCGCTTCCGTAGTATTTTACCGTAAAAGAGTGAATTTATAAACGCATTGTAATACTATAAATATGACGAAAATTATTTTCGTCCTTCTTGTTCAGCTTGCTTGCACCTTTGCATTAACTGGATTTTCATCATAACTACAAATATGGCAGGAAATTGAATGAACACAAGATACAAATTTACGCAATCTATGCCAAATCACTCGGGAGAACAAGCGTGCGTGAATGGAGGGAGTAATGCCCTCCATTCACATACTCATGTGAGGAATGTGAGTTTGTGGCATTACTCGATCTGGCAAAGGGCAATTTCAGTTTGGGACGTTAAGCACAGCAAAATATGATTGGCTCATTAAATACATTTTGGTCATTTCAGCATAGCCGTTAATCTTAGCCTGAGAAAGGAAGGTGAAGGGTTCTGCATAATGTATTGTATGAAAATATGTTTCGTGAAATTTTGCTCGACCGCACTCGGAAATTGAAACTCGGGCTGCGGTTGGCTCTGTGCAAACTGACATGCATAAACATCTTTATTATGCACATTTTGCTTTGACGTAAGCATTGCCGTCGCATGACTACTACAAAACTAATGTGTTGGCTGCGCCACTCATCTCCTTCAGAATTAGTGGACTCCCCGAACTCGGCACATGAAAATTTCTGGTTGTCAACTAATAAAGGCTAATTTTATTTTGTTAGTCAAATTGTTACAGTGGGTTGCAGCCTTGTTTCCTTAATAAGTCACATCCTTCTGTAAAGTCAATGGATATAGCGTCAATTTGTGAAAATATGTTTGAGATTGCTATAAATGCTGGTTAGCAACTCAAAAAGCTGTATTGTACGCAACCGGTTCTCAGGAAAAGTATACTGGTCAGAATGTAGCACATTCTTGCCTGGCCGTTGCCCCTTTGCGTTTAAGAAACCAGGAAAAATGTTTAAGCAACATGCTCTCCTGCTTACTTGGAATGGGGAGCGTGCTGGTTAGGGTAATGTAAATAAAGGGAAGAACATCAAAGACAAGGACGGACAAGACGGGAAACGTCTTGCCTGTGCTTGTATTTTATGTTATTCCCTTTATTTATAATACTGTCCTCCTTCTATCTATGTTCTGATATTTCCTTGGGAGCCACATTCCGAAATAAAGCATCCCCAATACTAAATGCAGATTTTTCCCCGATAAATGCAGATTTTTGTTCGACACTAAAAAACAAAAAAATCTCTGAGGAAAAAAAAAATCCCCCAAAACTCCTAAGCTTGAAGAAATATAAACCCGGCATGTACTTAGGTACTTATTTTTCCCTAGTAACTGGAATAACTTTCTACAGTATATTCTGTTGATAAACTGTCCACGGGAATTAGCAAATGTAATTTAAAATTGATGTAATCTAGCACGTGTTGTTTTTCTCTTTCTCGTCACAGGGAGTGATAACTAGCGTTGACTATTTGCATATATTTTTTGTACTATCGAAGTCTAGTGTGTGTCAATTATAGTTTTGCCTTTACTGCTTTTATAAAGTTATTCTACGAGTAATGGGCGGTATACTTTTTGTTGTTTTTTTGCTTTCTTTCATATACTTTTATGTGAACTCGTATATTTCGTGCTATCTTGTGCCCTGTACCGCCCCTGTTAGGGGCGAACAGTATTCATACGTAAATATTCAAACGCAAAACCCTAATTGTGACAAAGGTTTCTATGCATCCCTACTTACCCTTTTGTCTTAATGTGTACTGTGCAAAGGTTCTCAGCACTGCGCACATGTTGGGGCGTGTTGCAGGAGAGCATGGAGCTTTCACCGTACCTGGACGACGTTCTTCCCCATGGGATGGCAGCAGACCTCAAGTTGCTCATGGCAGAAATGAGTGAGCACGCTATTTCGTGTCTCCTATCAACATTAAAATGTTTTGCCTTTGGTTTTCTTTTAAGGAAAAAAAAATGTTTTATTGTTCAGGGGGGCTGCAGTATTTTATTAGAAACTATGAGGCACATAGGTAATCTTGATTTATTAAACTGTTTTAGTCAATTGGTAGACATACATTTCTAAAATGTGGGCATTTATTGGAGCACTAGTTATGTCCCAGGTGACATCTGTCAAGTATGCCTGCCGTGCTCCATATCCTCGGGCGTATTAAACGCATGTGACAATAACGAGCTATGTTATGTAATGTGAGTTATATTGTTATGTTTTGCAAATGGAAGCCCATTTTTATCAAACTTAAAAGGTGGCATTCTAGTGATGACCTTGACAAAACTGCACTGCTTAAACAACCTATAGAGCAAAATATACTATCCGAGTGTTCAGCGTGGTTCCTGAAAAGATTCCTGTAAAGTTCTGTACGAATTATGCTTGCTCTTGGACTGAGCTCACTTAGAAACTACGTTCAGCATTTTTAGTTTCCTTTGTGGGCACATTCTTACGAAAGGTGTAGTTTAATGACCAACTTTTGACAGGAGGGGAAAAAATAAGTTTTACTTCTTACCTTTTTTTTTTCTGCCTGCCTGGTGGCCTCTTAGCACTTGTGCGAGAAGAAAGTAGAAAGCCAAGGAGGAAAAGAAAGGCAGTTTCTGCCAGGCAGAAACTCCTTTTATGAATTGACCTTTTAGGCAGTTGCCAACCAAAGGAAAGGGTGTGATCACGAGGCAGAAGCACACCACTCTTTCTCTCGACTCGTCGGGTTGAAAGGGGTGTTTGCCACAGGGCTTTTCTCACTGATTCGCGTGCCCTCCAGGACACCCCCTGACGTGACCCTCTTAGCATCGTAAACAAATCGCAGCGGTAGTTTTAAGTTGGTAGAAACAACTTGTCAATATTTTGCCAAGGGACCTCCGCAGAAAGTTATATTCCAAGAGAGTCAGTTTCAAAACCTTAACAGGCGGCATCACAGCAAGGCAGTCACTTTCACAAACGCCATGAGCCAACAGAGCTTGCCTCTTAGCGACTCAAATTTATTTTTCCAAAAGCTGGGAAGATGTTCTCGGTGTATCTGTCAAAGGAAAGCAATGTGTTTCTTCTGTCAGTCCGAGGAAGGTTTAAGTTTATTCGTCAGAGCACTGCAACCACACATACGGTGCACGATGGGAATGGGAAATCAAAATGAGTGCGTTTATTGGCCGGTTTATTGTGGCCGCTTCCGCTCTCAATGCAATGCAGCACGTCTTTAGATGTCCTCTAAGAATCTTCTCATTTTACGGACGGGTAATTTTAAGTGTTTTAATTTTACATTATGTGTGGGGAACAGAAATGGGAAGTGATTAGGTCGAAGATATTTTTTGGAATCCTCGGCATCCGTGGGCAATGGTTTGGGAATGAATGTATATAAAATTTCTCGAAGCAATATTTGTACAATTTTTTAGACTTTTGCCCTCCCTATCATTGTTTGTCTATTCAAGCTTCCGTTGCGAACAGCGCATGTTGCAACCGCCTCCTAAGGCCACATTTTTTCTTGTTTCCCCAGAAAACCAAAACCTGGACGTCATTCGCTTTGCCTCATACCGTACGGCCTGCAAGCTCCGCTTCATCCAGAAGAGGACGCAATGTGAGTAGAAAACGCACTGAATGAACGGATGAATGACGGTGGCCATTCTTTCAGTATTGGGCAGTAGCTTGCGCCACCTAGCCTACAGAATTTACACCACTGTGTTAACACAACGTCGCCAGTTGTGGAATATCTTCGTTGGCAGAACTGTCTCATCAGTTTTCTCTTTTATGATTGAGCACAAAACAAAATAGGCTGGAGACTAATTGTGAGCTACCTGCAAACTAGGGATATGGGTCATTTTATGCCAAATGTCCCTGCCATTGCGCTCGACTATTTTTGATTTTTAAAACAAAATTCATGACCTTTTACCCTAAGGTCTTTAACCTTTTCCTAACATATTTCAGCCGAGAAGTTTTTGTTTATGGAGTGAGCGTTGGTTATAATTTTCAAAAATGTGTGTGAAACTCGGCATCATTCAATAATTATGTAAAAATCCGTTTTCTTTTTTCTAGACACTTCACAATTTATTTTTAGAAATTCAAACACATTTTAGCTTCCTATGTTGGGATGATTATGCAAATATTTGTTTCAAATATTTTTTTTTTTAATTTCAACAAAATAAAAAAGCTGAGTACTTTTCTAAATTTTTGGTTTGATTATTGCCTTGCACCTGACAATTATAAATTTCTTATATAGATGTACTGGATGTAGACTACAAATACATTTTTTTTTAAGCTGTGCAACAAAATATATTGCAAAAAAAAAATTTGAAAGTTGGGAAAAAGTTTGTTTTGCTGCCTAAAGAGCCGTTTATTCTACCCTGAGGTGGTCCAAGTAAAAATAAAAGAAAAAACAACTCTAGAAGAAGTGTTTATTGCCTTTAGTTTTTGAGAGTTTAATCAAATGTATTTTTTTTTCTAAAGCGAGTGAAGTTGAGCACTTGCGTCGCAACTGGCATTGTTTCTTAGCGCCCCTTCACCGCATAGCACGCCACCTGACACAAAAGCTGGAAACTTTGCACACACGCAAGGCATTTTCTGTTCAGGAGTGTGATTTTCGCAGAGGGTTCTGTACATGTGCATTCTCAGCTCGCAATTGCCTTACATATACGATCACTGTTTACAGCTAAAGGTCGCGGCCACTTGCACTCGTTTCTCTTTTCGTCCTCCTTATCGGCTGCAACGCAAACAACAGCGCCCGAATATGTGTCGCATAAACATAACAGAGCGAACAGCATACAGCTTAATATTTTGATGGTCTAGTTGGTTTGCGAAAGGCATGAATCGAACCGCTGCAAGTAAACAGACCGATGACACACCAGCATCTGCTCGAACCTCAGAATGATTTGCGTATGCCGAGTGACCTGCCTCATTAGTCAATATGGCACCGTACTCTGACAGAAAATAAGCTTTCTTGGGCAGATTCCTGATTGCAACTGGGCAGCGGTTGTTCGAAACAATACCCCTCGTTTTTCTGCTCTCTCTTACCGTGGGTCCTTTCCTTTCAAAACACCAGTAGGGATCTCGCTCTATCGTCATTGCGTTTCCTGAATAGGAGAAGTCCACGTCAGGTGATGCCGATGTCGTTAGACATCAAGTTTCTGAGTGAGGAGAGCTGACATTGGTACGAAGGGTGGAACGAGCCTGCTATGCAGTGGCGGCACGTAGGACTATTGCACGACCAGCAATTGCCTTGCCTGTGCGCAAATCTTCCAGCTCTTGTGTCGGCTCTCGTGTGAAGTGGCGTGCTGTGTGGTGAAGAGGTGTTATGAAACAACGCCAGGTTGCAACACGAGAGCCTAACTTCATTATTTGTTTTCTCGCTTTAGAAAAAAATTATTTTGGTTAAACTCTCAGAATTGAAAGGCAATAAACTCTTCTTCTAAAGCCGTTACTTTCTGTTCTTTTACTGGGACCGCCTGAGGGTAGAATAAATGACTGTTTAGGCAGCAAAATAAACTTTTTGACAACTTCAGATTTGTATTTCTGTAAAATATTTTTTGTACAGCTTCACAAAATATTTTATTTGTAGTACATCTACGAGGCTTCCATAAAAAAAAAAAGAAGAAAAAAAAGTTGTAATTGCTGGGTGCAAAATGATATTAAGCAAGAAGTTTAGAAAAGTAATAAACTTATTGCCTTTTGTTGAAATTTTTAAAAATATTTTAACAATAAAAGTTTGCACAATCATCCCAACATAGCAATCCATTAAAATTGAAAAAAAAAATTAATTGGGAAGTGTTTATGAAGAAGACTTATTTTTACTCAATTATTGCAGGATGTCTAGTTTTACACCCATTTTGAAAAATCAAACCATGCTCGCACCAATAAAAAAAAAAGAATTGCTATAAATATTTTTAGGGGACCTTGGGGAAAAATGCTATAAATTTTCTTTGAAAAATCAGAAAATGGTTGAGCGCAACATCTGGGACGTGTGGCATGGAATCATTCATATGCCAGCTGGCATGATCTAAAGACCCTTTTTGTTATTTCGATATTGAGGTAAGATTACCCTATGACGTTTTCATTTAAGAAGTGTGCCATATAAATAATAATGAGAATAACTTTATTCAGCATACATTCTTAAACAAGGTGCAAATATGTACCTGTTAAAGCCAGATGAGGCTAAATAAGTCGAGTATCGTTAAGGGAATAAATATGTTTCAGAACAGCTGTTTCGTACACTGAACGGAAGTAGGCCGAGGAACTGATGAAGCAACCGAGCTTGTGACGCCACAAAATGTTCCTTTCTGACACACCGGAACTGAACTTAACAATCCCAGCAAGCAGAGAAAGGGGACGGGAATTAGTGAGAGTGAAGGGACGAGGGTGCGATCTATTGCGGCAGCCTGTAACTCCTCATAATACCGAGGTGCTTTACGTACATATGCGAAAGCAATATATCGAATGTTTCGGCAAAGACTTTCAAAAATCACTAAAAATAGGGTGGTTGAGAAAAAAAAACAACTTCGGGATCAAACTACCAGCCCCGGTGGACGACAGGAATTGCAAAGAGAATACTAATTAGCTGAATAATTAACTGAAACTTACTCGGTTGCTTTTTAATTAGTGAAAATAAACATATGCTTCCCGTTAGGAACTTCCTGGGCTTCGTCGAAAGCAACTAAATCAACTCGTTTTAGAAAGATACAATTCAGGCACAGCATTTTACGGCGTTCCGAAAAAATGCTCGATTTAGACGCGTTGCTAGGTTTTCGAGGTTTATTGGAGCGCATCTTTGTGCCAGTTTCCGGACCAGACACTTGGAAGACCGTGCCGGGGGCTTTGTGGGGCAGTGGATGGTCTAAGGTGCCCAGATGGCATCTTCAACTGGGGTGTCTAGCGTCCTATGCTGCCGATGCATCAAAAGAAGTCCTGTGCGTCGTGCCGTCGGACGTCGCAACCGTGGCGGTCAGTCGTAGAAGTTTCCGTGAAAAAGAAGAGCGAACGACTGCATCGCTGTCGTCGCGGCGTCCCAGCTGCCGGCTGTTTGGGTTTCCGTGAACCGTTTGTGGAAGCTCCGGGGTTGGAACGTCGTGACGACGGCGCCGGCCGCATTTGCTCGTGCATTTTAGCGAAACTTCTACGACCAACTGCCTGGATTGCGACATCCGACAGCACGGCACTCCGGCTTGTGCGACGTCGTTTGTTGCCACTTTGGGACCACCTTTGATCCACGAGTGAGACAGGACGCCGGACACACTGGTCGGCCAGACGCCAGGACCGTGGCAGGCAAAAGGACGTCGCTTACGCACGAGCAGAGATTGAGCGACCACAAACAAGGAAGCAGTAAACGCGCCAATCAAAGACTTGCTCCAGGCACCTGGACGCGCTGAACCAGGACGCTTGCGCCCGTGCTCGAGCTGCCGTGCTTCGTGCAGTGCACCTGGTGGACCTGTGGAACATGATTGAGGCGTTCCGGGAGAATGCCTTCCACTCCCTGGAGCCCCTGGCAGAGGTCAGCCTGGCCAGGACACAGACTTTGGTGACGTCGGTCTACTACCAGCTCAACAAGCGGCTGCCCCCGACCCAGCAGGTGGACCTCGGACAGTGCGTCTCCCTGCTGCTCCACTGGCTGCTTGCCACCTACGACCCGTGAGTTGCCAGAGTGTGCGGAGTATGTGCGAGGGAGCAGAGCCTCTGGCTGAGCTACGCTTAAGGCTCGTCTTATTCACCGACGTCGAGCGTAGCAAACACGGCGTGGTGCAGCACACACAGATGCTGGTCGGTCTCAGATACATACCTGCCGACTCTTTCAAATTTTTCATAAAATGTATGAATTGGGAATAATTTATATGATTTTACGAATCTTGCTTCAAGTCTTACGAAATATATTTCTTTTTAAATTTTTTTGTAACTCTGTTGTTGGCGGTATCTTGCACCACCACAAGAGGGTGATAGGTACTGTCCACAGCAGCGTCTGTGTTTTTACTATCCATCTATCCGGTGGCCACGGATCGTAAACCAATCCAAAGCTCAAAGCCTTTGTTCGTGTGTTCGGCGGTGCACGTTTGTTCGGCGTGTTCAGACGTTGTTGGGCCTCATTGTTTCGGCCAGTTTCGAGGCGAGAAGTACGGTGTCTGTGTTTGTTGCACGTGTAACTGCAGCATTCTCCTGGTCACTGTGGCTTTGCGGCGCAATGGCGAACTCCAAACCACAAAAGAGGTGCTTTCAGGCGTTCCTGAAGTCCTACATGTCGAAATTTCCGTGCTTCGTGCCGCCCAAAAAGCGAGAGAAGGTTGGATTCTGTAGCACGCGCACGTTTGATGTAAGCATTTTGCACGGTGGCCAGGCTGACATTAAGCTGCACATCGCTTCGTGTAACCCGCACCCCCCCCCCCTGCGGTTGTGGGACTTTTACGAATTTGAAAGTCCACAGGTTGGCAGGTATGCAGATATCGAGTTCCTGCTCACTGGCCAATTAAAGGTGCCTGCTCTGCGCTACGTCATGTTCGCTGCGCTCGACGTATAACGGAGCCTTTAGGGCAGGGGCTTCCATACTTAATTATCTCGAAGAACTCCTATCTGTCTCAATGGATTGCCGAGAAACCCCTCCCGGTTCCGGCATTGAAGCAATAAACTAGTCCCAAAGCTTACAGAGCTTGTGAACAGTAATACACATACTAGGGTGTGTTTAGTACATAGTTATGTATCAGTGGACGGCTCAGATCTTAAAGGATAATGCTTACACTGGAGAACCTTTCCTTAGGTATAAGAAGAACTCAGAAAATTTGGGAGCTTCAGGGAACTTTCAAGGGCACTCTGGAGAACCCCTGGACTCCCAGAAACTTTGTTTGAGAACCCATGGCTCGGAGCATAAACACTTCATTTCCCAGTTTTCTTGCGAGTGCCCGCTATTTTGTTGCCCATTGCGTTTCAAAAGTGCCACTTCCGACTTTCAAATGCGGTGTCAGAAGGGTCGGGCAGTATTATTTCGCTAGGGTTGCAAAATATTTAAATTTTTTAATAGTAATTTTGAGTAATATGCTATATGTTATTCGCTTTGAAATTAACTGCAATATCCACATTTTTCAAAGCGTTGATCGTGGTGGGTAGCCCCATCGAGCGCGCTTCTTAATGAGCGCCGGCGCTCTGCGGTGCAACACCCGAGGAGCTTGCTTCCACGGGTGTGGCTTCTCTGCGGTAGACTGGTGCTCAGTAAGAAGTGCACTCTACAGGGACCCGCTGCAGGGATGGAAGCGCCGCGCCATTTGTGCCAAATTGCGCCATGAAAGAAAGTCTGCTATATCTTGTGCCAAAATGCCATTTTTGCTAAGAATTGCGCCACAGCTGCGCCGAGATAGGCTTAAAGAAAACAAATTAATGTTTTATTATTGGTCAACCCTAATATTTGGAAAAGTAGAAGGAAAGAAAAATTGCACAAATATGAATTTCACAGCGTTTCTACTCACCGTATGGTTTGTTTCGTTTTATGTCGGAGCACAGTCGAAGGCTCAAGCACGTACTAAAAGCGCGAGTCAGGGGACATTCGTTGTGCTTGATCGGTTTAGCTGATGAAAGAACACATACAAGGAGATGGCGAATGCCACGATGTCACGCTTTGGTGCTGTGAGTCAACCGGCCAGAGCCGTTGATTCTGGGCATCACTGGCTCTGGTTGGTCAATGTCCTGGTTGGTCGATCGCCAACATCATCTAAATTTTGAGACGACGTCGTCGATGTCGGGATCTAAGGGTCCTGAGAAAACTTTGCAGAATAGTAGGATTGCCGATTGTGACTACCGTAATAAAACAGAACCAGGGTTTTGTACCCCCAATAAGATCGCTCGATTATAACGGATGTCACGTGCCTTCGTTCCGTGGCTTCAGAGTACCGTGACACTTGTGCAGCTTGCATTAACCTTCACTGCCTCTCGCCAGTGTGCACGTATCGAGCTCCACCGCCTTGCACCAGAGTGCTAGGGTCAGCGACTGACCCGGGGGCCCACCTGGCTTAGTGCCATATGCATGTAAATTATGCTCAGGGTTATTGCAGGTCAAACTTCTTTGTTTAAATTGTGAGTTTATCTATAAACAGCTTTTTTGTTGGTTGGTGGTCGTCCTTTATCTAAAGCTAGTTCTATGTTTGAGGAAATCAAACCTGCCGTCGAATTGGTGCTAATACACAAGTGGGAAAGCAAAGTAGATATTGTCATTCTGTTGGACAGGCCAACGTCTGAATTTCCACATTAAATTTGCAGTGATACAGACAAAAACAAAGTGTGTGCTTATGCTCCGAAAGTTCCTTTTGCTTGCTTCAAAAGGGAAACTTGGCTGCTCCAAAGGAAGCTCCAAATTGACTCAGACCAAATGCATCACTGTGAGTGCTAGGTTAGATCTGGCTTTCACTCTTATAGTGACAAAAACTCAACCATTGGGAAGTCTTCAGTATGTCTCAGGAGCACCAAACTTTTGTCTGGCAAAAGGTCTTTTAAAAATATTTCGCTCACCAGATGTAGTTTTCCTAGACGAATTGAGTGGGACTTGAATTTTAATGCAGAATAGGGATGCGCTTCTGTAATGGAAGAGCGTCGTTCGAATATTCACCAGTTTAAAAGGAACGCCGTAGAAAGCGTGGAATTGTACTGGGGGACTCTCTGGCTGCGAGTCCGACGCTGAACCAATTGCGCCAACAGTGTGTACGGAGAAAGCGGGTTTTGAATGTTGACATAAGGCAGCCAGCAACGGGGCCATAATGCTGAATTTTATATTCTGCCTACCGGAGGCCTACCAAGAGTGCATGTCGGATGCAGGTGCCTCACCGGCTTTCGGCTAGGAGTCGTGTTCTCACGGGTCGAACATGGGTCCCGGTCAGACGCCGACACACCACTCTCGTCCAATGTGCGTCCCGGCCCTTGTGCCGTGAAACCCCAATCGATCAATCAATCAATGTGCGTCTCATGCTGGACTCCAGTCGGCGACATAAAAAATCTGGTAGTGACGCATAAAAACTCTTCAAATGTAAAAATTAAAAGAGAAATGGAACTTGTTTCTTGGGATGGCATAGTCGTGTTTGCTAGAATGGGGCTGGTAATGGCTGGAAGGCAGTCGGCACAGTTTTTTTAGACACTTGCGCCTGTGAGTCCATTGTCGTGGGTGTCCTCTGAAACGTGTTGCCGTGCGGTCTCTCTCCAGGGAACAGACTGGTCTTCTGCGGGTGCTGTCCCTCAAGGTGTCCCTGTCCATCATGTGTGCGGGAAAGATGGTCGACAAGCTGCGCTGTGAGTGCTCTGCACCCCTCCTCGGCATTATTAGATGCAAGATATGTTTCTTTTTTATACAAAGCAGTAGTTAATATTGTGTTAAAGTACCTTTGCTTCTTAATTACATTTTATTTTGTGTTCCACGAAAGCGTTTCAGACCTTCTTCTCTTTTTTACCCATGGAACCTGGATGATGTGTCTGGTCTATCCTACTTTAGCTCATGTTTTAAATTTTACAGTGTTCTGCTTGTTTTGCTTTTAGTGTACAATATGCATAGTACTAGGACCAAGAGCTGTTTGCGTTGATTGTAAGCGGAACAATAAATAATTGGGGGGTTTCTGTTCAGCGACACAGGAGCTACTTGGCAGGGAGGATGTTGAAAACATGTGTCGAACCTTATCGTTCGACTGGTTTAGCAAACCTACAGACTGCTAACAAAGTTAGACTTATGAACAGTGTTGCCCAACTTCCACACAATTTTTGAATTTTGGTAAGACTTATATTATAAAGAGTTTCTATTTTTTTTTTATAAGATTATCATTAATCTGTAAGAACTTGAGATTGGGCGAGTTGGTTGTTCATGTTTGTCGACGTTTTTCGTTTTTCGAGTGCGCTAAACGTCGACAAAAATATCATTAATGTTTACAGGATGTAAGAGCAAGCATGTATGTAGTTGTAATGCTTTAGTTAGTTTATTAATGTGAGACAAAGAAACAATATTTTCAACAAATAATGCACTTCCTCCTTTGGCAGACGGTGTCGGTTTGTTTTCAATCTCCGCACATGCGCATAATTTGATAAATGACATATTTACATCCACCAACATTTTTAGAGTATTCCCAGAAAGTTTCATTTGTTTACACTGCATAGTATCTGTGTTTATAAATTATTTTTGGTCCATTGAAACTAAACAAAAGATAGAGGTTCAAGCACTTGGAATGTGCTTTTTTTTTTTTTTCATTCCACTTTCTGGCATAAATTTCACTCTAGGAAATCTATCGTTTGGTAACAAGACGGAAGAAAAGGCTCGCACATTGTTTTTCTTAACTAGAATTTCATGGACAATGCAACTGTTGCATTGTTTTTTTACTTTGCGAATGTCATTTATAAAAGATGTTAAGATTTTGTCGATGACATAAATGACAAAATATTGATGTGATTTTTCACTGCAATGTTAGCATAATATAGATTACTTTCTGGAAATTTTGTTTTTACAGTTGCACTTCCGTCATTCTGCTGCATATTGAGTGATGAAAATTGTTGGGTATAACATTAGTTTTCGTCATTGTGTTCCTGATAAAAACAACTATAATTTCTTTCACAGTTCATGTACACAGATGGAACATTACACGGCATTTTGCCTTGCAACTGCCAGTATATACTGTAAAATTCCATTTATATTAAGCCAAAGGTTCAAAAGTTGACCTTTTGGGTAGTGGTCAAACTTTTGTCAAATTTTGCAGTTGAAGTTTGAAAGTCAGACTTGGTCAAACTCAAACTTTAGGAGGTTTGTGACAGCCCTACTGATCAATCTGAAAAGACAGAAATCAACACATTTAAATTCAAATTTTTTACTTTCTAAACTACAATCAGTTTTTTTATGCAGTTGAACCTACTTATACTGTACCTGGGGATAGCGAACAGTCAAGTACAACAAATAGAGGTGTGCGAATATTCAAAACTTAAATCAATTTTAGTTGCAGCACACTTTTACTCTTCGAAGTATTCAAGTTTCTGGGGTACTCGAAAATTATGAACAATATGTCTAGAATTCCCCGATTCCTCGCTTCAATTCAAGCTTTACCTCTCGGCTCCAGCACACATTCTCGAAGCTTCGCTGGTTTGCACCAACATGCTCGGAGAAACAGCTGATGTGGTAGAGTATCTCGGTTAGCTCGATGGGCTTTAACATTTTGTTATAAGAAGAGAGTGCACAAAACAAAGGGACCAAGAGAGGGCACACAAAACAAACTAGTGCTCACTTGCAACTGAAATTTTAATTTTACATTTCGTAACTAGGAAGAGTCGCTACCTAGTCCACTTGCGTGTATACAAAGTCCCCTAATCTTTCACCAAAGACCGAAAAACACTTTTGTAAACAAGATTCTCCCTATGTACCAAATGTGAAAATAAACATTTAGCTGCGAGTGAGTGCTCGTCTGTCCTACCTGTCTTCCTTTGGTCTCTGTTTTTTTAAGCGCTGTGTTTTCATAATGAATCGGTACCAGCTGGTCCAGTTTTCAACACCTCTGCTGTTTGAAATTTCGCTCGGTCTGGCAGGTCAAACTTTGGTAATGAATTCCTGCTCGTGTTCAATTATGTATCCATGCTCAGTTCAAAATGTAAAATACTCGTATTAAAAAATATTTGATTTGATTTGCCGTAAGATTTTATTATTCCTGTTCAATTCACAATAAAAAATTTGCTATCCACACACCTTAATAGCAAACTTTTCCGCTCGTTTCACGCTCCTGCTGGGAAAAAATTGGCACAGCTGAGAAACTTCTCTCGCAGAAACAACCAGAAAGGGGTGTGCTAGAATTTCAGCACAAAATGAGACCTTTGTCGTTTTTTATTGCGGCACGTTACCGCGCTGGGCGGCTCTCTTCAGGGAAGTTGACAGAGCTCTGCTGTCGATGGAATCCGCTTTGCTGCATCACGCACTCGCTCCGCTTTCTTGCGTGTGACCTCGGCAACATCGCGACAGAATGGCAGAACAGGATGAAAAGCGGAAAAGTGACTGTGCGAGTAATTTCGTCAACCTGTGCCTCTTTAAGAAAGCTGATGAGAAAACTCTTCAGCTGGAGTGTATGTGCAAACGCGTACATTCTCACAAGCACATGTGTCTAGCGTGCACTTGCGCTGGCTGGCGACATTTTAACTGCGGCCCTTTTGTCGCCATCTTTTTTGTGCCCAATGTATGTTGTTAACACCTCTTTACTTCGGGTTCTAGCGGTTTCTTAAAAGTGTGCTTGCTTCGAGCCCCTCAATGTACACGCAGAGCAAATCTTTGTGCGAGAGTTGCTTCTTGTTTGATCTGCTCAGTGGTGTCATCATCAATGGCTGAATTTTTCCTGGTCACATCTCTTTCAGCAGTTTGCAGTAACGTACATACTGGAAGTTCTACCTTATTTTGTTTCAACAACAGATTCACCAACTGTACCGGCCGGAGGAAGTGCATGCTGTACATCTGTCGCTCTCCGTCACTCCGCTTCGCTGCAGTTGAAACAATCGGACGCAGAGGCTTACATTTTTACGCTTGAAATAGGCAGAAATGCCGCTTCGTCGAGGCTACTTTCTACCGAATTCTTGGCAAACTAGAACAGCAGCTATTGTGAAAGGCTATCCTATGTGCTACATAACTATTATACGTGCCGTGGGCATAAAAATGAAAAACTCAAGGGGTGCAGATTGGCCGTGACCGTCTCCGAGGGTTCCCACCTGAGCGTACGCCCAATGCCGTCTTTGCGCAGACCTGTTCTCCCTCCTGGCGGACTCTGGGGGCCACCTGATGCCCGGCCGCTTTGCCCACTTCCTGGAGGAGGCCCTGGCTCTGCCAGCCTCGGTGCTGGAGTCCCCCACCTTCCACTACACCGAGTCCCTGCCGGCGGCCATCTTTGACCACGTCAGTGGGCTCTCTTGGGAGTTACAGCAGTCCTTAGCTAAACTACTTGGCAGTCTGGGAACTTTGTCGGTTTCCGCCCCGGTAAACTTTGCCCCAGAAGCAGCACCAATACATATACGAGTAAAACGAAATAGAAGCTCAGGAAAAAAAAAGATTGAAATGTTTCGGTAATCTTTTAGGTGTAACATCCTCAGCTGGCGTTTCGATTGTTCCAAAGGAATACGACCTCTACGTCTCGAGTATAGGTGGCATTTACAATCGCCCTTTTCAATGGGTTCGCGGGAGCTTTGTAAGAGCATAGACGCATCCGGCGACTTTCTCCACGGTGGGTTTACAGAACCCCCGTCCATTCATTAAGTTCGCCGAGCGATCCGATTGCTCGACTGCTAACATACTGACATCCGCAGTGCACCTCCAGTGTTTCAATTTGTCCCCGGGAAACACATTTGCATAGCTGGACAAAAAGATTACAGACCAGGTGATCTAAAGATCATTGTCGCACCTAAGCAAGTCTCACCGACGAGTGCACTCGCCCATCTCGCTCGGCGAGTTTGCAAGCCTTGGAAACTTGCGAGTTTGAGGTTTGGTGAGGGGCATGAGGTACAGTTAAATTTTATTAATTCAAGCTCTCGTAATTCAAACTTGCGGATAATTCGAACTAACATGCAGGTCCCATCCTATGAGTCTCTATGGGAGAAAACTCCCGGTAATTCAAACTTTGCCTTCTTCAAACAAATTTTCGGTTCCCCTCGAGTTTGAATTAACAAGCTTCGACTGTATTTGAAGGATACGAGTTTAGTGATGTCGTAAGTGCTACGAGTTTGTCAGCGAGAAATTGAAACTGGGTGAGGGAGTTTTGAGCTTGTTTCTAGTCATCTGTTTGTGGGTGTGGGAATGACTACGTAGTTCTTAATTTTGAGCTGGCGAGCGAGTTAGTTTGACCGTAAAATGCCAACCTCTGGTTATATTTTAGGTTGAACTAGCATACTCAAAAGCCCACAATGAAAAAAAATTGCCGGGGCATAATGAGAACCTGTTGTCTGTTGTCAGATATTTACTTGTGTATTGAACACGCTGAGAAAGAAAGCTTCTTTACCTTCTTTTTTTTTTCGAGGATGGCACCGATGGTCTTTTTCTTCCAATATTTATGACAAGCTTCATTAACTCTGTGAGTGCCATGCCCGAGTATGCTTGGTCATGTTTCTGAGGGGTTTCAGTTTTCATTTGCTCCTTGCCCCTCCCAACTGGGTTCTTTATTTTACATGTAGCAGGAAGTATGAGCGAGCGATGAAAGCAATGTTTTTTTTTGCAGTGCCACTTTTTGATGGCACGAAACTTTTATTGTTTAGGCGACTTCTGTTTTGGTACACTTCTTCATTATTACAGAATGGCAAATCTATGTCGTTCAGCCGCACACTTCACGCTGAACACCGAGATTTAAAAATTACTAATGAACTGGGTACTTGACGACTGTGTTAACAAGGGAGTTACCGTTCCAAGTTAAGAAAGGCAGACTAAGGCCATTCAAAAGGTTGACCTCAGGGTGCGAGGTCAAGGTGCCACTGTGTCTCAAGAAGTACAGTACGACAAATGTGTCATAGTTTAGAGGCATGCGGCCATCAGTCAACTTTTTGCACCAAAATTGTGCACCTCCCGCGAACCCGGATATATTGAATTCAAAGGGGATCGTAAAATAGTTTGATATGTCGATAATTTGATATACAAAAACATCTTAACTTAAGCTTCAGTTAAAATTTCCTGGCGTCTCTGCTAATACCGAAGCCCGCGACAAACGGGACTTTACCAAATAGAGCCCCTAAGAGCCGCTAAATACGGTAGAGCTTAGCTGGTGACGATCACAAACACTGCCCCGTTTAGGCGACTGTTTACGCCGGACGGTGTTTGCAATCGTTTACACATAACGCAGGCAACAAAACACAAAAATAAATTTTAAAAAATGAAAAAAAAAACAAAAAAAACAGAAAAAGCGAGTCGCATAAAAAAGGAAAAATCTCTCGATCCATAGATTAAAGTGAAACAAACAAAAAAAAAAGAAAAGAAAAACCTCGCTAAATTCGGTCAGCAAAAGAAAACAAAAAAAACGGGCAAAGCAAAAACGGCGAAAGAAAAAGGTAGCCAAAGATAATGAGTTCAAAGTGCGATTGCTCAACCCTTGCTGTCGACACTCAACTTGAAGGAGACTTTTTTTTTTTTTTTCTTCTGCTTATATTATTTTGGGGTTAAGGAGTGTGCAACGATAGCAGTGTTCGGGGAAAGAGAGCACGCTACCGTTCCAACAGGGGGCACTCTACGAGCGTGCCCTTCCCATTGCTTTTGCCATCCCTCACTTTTTTTTTACAATTTTTTTTTACAACTGTTTTTTTTTTTTTGCTGCATGTCTCCGTGCACGTATGCTGGCTTGATTGTTAGCCAGCCCCGCAACGCAAGCTATGTACTCACCGCCCCCAATCCTACGTCAGGAGAAGCGATGGGCGCCCTTGCGAGCGGCCCTGCTGTTCGCTAGTTCGCTGTATCAAGTGTCCCCGCCATGGGAGGCCATGGGAGTTCGATGTAGAAAACAACGCTCCTACAGTGTTGCCGAATTGTAGGAAATCTCCCATATTGTGGGAAAAAGCATGACAGCTTGGGAAAAAGGGAAAACATAACTTAAAGCACGTAAAATGTGGGAAATATTTGTTAATAAAAAACTAACCTGAAGTGTTGTCCTTTTTTATCTACATCGAACAGGAGAAAAGAAGTGGCACTAGCTACTCAGACATTTTGCTGTTTTCAAGAGCCAATCTAATTCACCACGACTTACATCATCATGTGCATGCTGCCAGCCTGCCGGTACAGTACTTCCAGTTTGCGCGTTTTCCTCACCGCTAGCTATGCACATACGTCCTCTGTCAGTGCGATAAATCATCCATTTCAGAGTGGGTGGCGTTCCTTTCACATCACGAATACAAGCAGGCGATTTTAGTTTAGTTTGTTTAATGGCCCGCTTGCCTTTATTTAGTTCCCCTAGCTCTTTCAACCAATGTGGTGCGTGGAAAAGAGGGGGAGGGGGAACAGTTTGCCGAATGACAGCCTCCACATTTTGTAGTTTATGTGATGCAAATTTCTACAAAACAAAAACATATGTGAGGTGTTCCTGTATCCAAAGGTACTTGGCGTCATGCGTATCTTTAAAACGACTTCTGCCACTAAAATAATGTTGTGGGAAAAAAAGGAATTTTCGCCGCTTGACGCTGGGAAAAGCCGAAGTGCCAGTGCGGCAACACTGCGCTCCTACACTATGGCATGTGGTTTTTAACGGCATATTTAGACTGTTCGATATAAACATTAATTCGGAATACCTGGTTGTGATATAACTGGGGCTCAACTGTAGATCAACTCGGTTGTGGATACACACTCTGGAGGTTAGCTCCTTTGCGTGTCGACTGCTTCATCATGGAAGACATTATCATCATCATCGGCTTTCAGGTGGCAAACCGTTTTTAGAATGCACAAGGCTGTGCATTCTGAAAACGAGGTGCGATCAGAAACTTCCGAGACTGATATTGTAGCATAAAACGAGAGGGCAGCACAGTGATGCACGCGCAGCAGTCGAAGGCAGAGACCTCTGCGTCTCATTATGCCAAAGAGCGTCATCCTGTGAACATTTGGAGCTGTGCTAAACGAGTTTTTGACACTGCGTGCATGAGCACTATGGCGATTTCACCATAGCTGCAAACAAGAGCAAGTGCGAACAACAATTCTGCATCAGACTTAACAAATTTAGAACGAAGACCTTTAGAGGGATTCAGCAGGCTGACATAAAAAAGCGGTGAATTGTGCAGAGTGTTTCAAGTGGCACCCATGCTTCGAGAATGGCAGAACGTCACTGGAAGACAAAGAAAGATCAGACAAGGTCACCTTACCTCTCTTCATCTTCCAGCAATGTCCTGCAAAATCCTTGAAGCGCAAGTGCCACTCAAAACACTTTCTACAATTCACTGCTTCTTGACATAAGCCTGCTGAATCGTTTCAAATGTCTGTTTGGGAAATGCTCATTGAGTTAATGACGCGTCTTCTCCTTATTGCCACAGGTATTGCAACATTTTTAAAACCCTCACCTGCCAAAGTTGCAAAATGGAGTCGAGACGCTCCAGTTTGCAACTTTGGCACGTGCGTCGCACTTACAGTAGTTTCGCCAAGCCGTTGACAAATAAATCTCTACGCGTTGCTCCGTATTCCGAGACTAACTTCTATTTTTATGCATTAGCCTCAGAATGGAATTTGGTTTTAGAATTACTTTCAGCTCGAAGCGTGCCTCTCAGCATAAATATTGCGGCAAAAAAACATTTTTCTTGGAAGGCTTGTTTTGTGACACTTGCCACACACTTCAGGGGTCCGATTTTCGTGTAAGTGAGAGTGAGAGCGTTTCCGGCTGCTGATTGGACATGGCGCCACAGCTTGCACGCAATCAACTGACGAGTCATTTTTCACCCAATGTTTCGTTCACAATTAGGCAAAATTTTGGTGAGAGTGTCTCTCCAACATGCAAAAGGCAGGGGAAGGGGGCCTCACAGTCTTTGACGCGCTTGTACTTAGTGTTCTCCACCGGTCGACGTCCGCTTGTGCGTGTCAACAGATCAGCTTGAAATATGAAACCAAGTGTGAGTTGTCAATTGCTTGTAACATGGAATAGTGGATGATCACAATTTCATCCTGCATCCGATCTCACTCGCCGTGGCACTTGGTCCGTAGCAGACGATCAACTTTTCTTTTCGGTTCGTTAGCCGATGCTGTACTGAGTTTTCTCATTACATTTCTGCTTGCAATAGCAGACAAACTGTCTACGAATGCTGTCTTTGCTCACTCCACGAGAGGAAAATTATATCTGGGTCTCGCTGTCACAGTGACCCAAATTAGACTCCAGGCACTCAAAGAAAGACATTTTTTTTTGGTAGTTCAGTGTCCTTTTGAATGTAATAGACCCTTTCCAAAATTGCTCTTGGCAACAATGAGCCACTGCTTTGATGGCGCTCCATTGTGCAGCTGGCCACTATGATGGGGCAAGGCACTGCCATTATCTGGTATGCGCCCGCGATCACGAGCACCATTGCTGACGTTCCCGATTTGCTATCGTGGACCAGGGGCTTGGTTGGCATTCCAAATTGGTACACTAGGTTAAAGTAAACGATAACTACATCGTCCACGAGACGAGCGACCAAAACCGAAGGCGCAGTTCACGTTCGTGACTGAAAGCTATGTGGAAGCACCATTATTTTCGTGGCCTCGATATTTCCCAAATTTTACGAAGTGCGAGCTCCGAGAATATTTGGCGGGCACAATATTTCGCAATTTGGAGGGGTACGCTTAGTATTCCTCACCGTAGGATAATTTATTTGTGCGATGTGCTCGCAAAAAATAGGTTGGAATCGGCACTGCTAGGTAGTGCAGCATTGCTTAAATGGTCTATTGTAGTCTTTCTCGAGGCAGGCAGAGATAGACTGACTGGAAAATATTTGAAGGTCAAAGGTGACCTGCTACTACTCGGAAGGGTGGTGTCTGCCATTGCGAGGTGAATGAGTTTGTGAAGACTGACGTTCTCAAACTTTTCAATCTTCAGTGACATCCGAGGAACACCTTGCAGACTTACCACTGATGCGACAAAAGTGGCGCAGAAGCCTACCAATTTCGGAAATGACGATGTCATTCCACGTCGCTTTTAGCGTATACACGATGCAGGCGTTTTTTCGCAGTTTACTATGAAGGGGTTTTTGGCGGGCACCAAATTTTACCGCTTCAATCGGTGCCTCGAACGAGTACTACTTGTCATCGCACTATAGTCGGCGACAACTTTTCTTGGCAATGCAGTGGAAGGTACAGGCCCGTGTCCCCTCTCCCATTTTGAGTGTGCGCGGGCTCTCCTCCTCTCCCCAGAAATGGGGGAGGAGGAGAGCCTGCGTACACTCAAAATGGGAGAGGGGACGGGGGCCTGTACCTTCCACTGCATTGCCAAGAAAAGTTGTCGCCGAGTATAGCAGTTCTGACGACATCCTTTCGATTCTAATAAAAAAACAAAAAGAGCCGGCGGTTGCTCATTCGCGTTAACGGCGTTATGGCATGCATGGTGTGTGGCCATTAAAACTGGCTTGCTCTGCACGCTTTGCAAAACGCAAATGCCAAATGTATGTACCTGAAACGGGCCATGCGAACGTCGTTTCGAAAGAAGTTTGTTTTGGAACTTAACTTTCTTGTTGGAGATGAATATTAAGACATTAAAAATGCACGGCCGCCGTTTTTGCACTATTTGGAATACCTCACCAGCTCCGAGTTGATCTCTAGAAAGAAATGGACATAAGACTTTGTGAAACAACGTTTGCATGCCCAGTTTCGGGGGATGTTTGATTATAATTAGAATTTTGCGGGGCGTGCCAAATGTGCTGTTCTTTGTGGCCTCACCCTGTACATATTAGGAAGCATTTAGTTGGTAGCTGTGCGTCAATGAGTGGCTCAGGTTCGCTAAAATAAGACTGATATTAGTGTACCTTGGGGCAGGTACGGCCAGGGAAGTTTTGGGGAACCCAGGGAGGTGTTCTGGGGAATCCAGTCTGAGAAGCCACGTGCATCTCATGCTCGCAGGCGAGGGTGACGGTGAACGACTTCCTGCTGGGGCTCGCGGGTGACCACACCCCCGACTGCCTGCTCTGGATGCCTCTTCTTCACCGGCTGGCCAACGTCGAAAACGGTGAGGCCAGACTCTTTTGAGGGGAGGCACCGCTCCTTGAAACAGAAATTGCTAAAAAAAAAATTGTGCGGACGGTCACATTACGAGATGCAAATGGATGGCGTCGGCCGGTGCAACATTTCAACGATATTATGCCGCGATTGGCCGGAAATCCTGGCGACGTTGCGTCACATGGCGTCTCACGTAAACCAGAACCGATCACACACAGAACGGCTAGCACCACACGCATTCTTGCGGACGCGCCACATAAATCCTCGGTCGCACCGGCGTGTCCTTTCTCCACTCGACAAAATTCTCTTCTACGGGCTGCTTCCCGTTCACGCACAACAGGATCTTGACGTCAAATGCGTTCCATCCTAATACCCTGGGCAAGATTGTCGATGCCTACGCATTGACAACGTTCTCTCTCCCGGGCGCGTTTTCGCCGTCGAGCTGCCGCCACTTGCTGCGACGTATGCTTTGATGCTCTAGGCCAAGGCTTAGAGCGGTGAGGGAACGGGTGACCGAAGGCGAGAAAGAGCAAGTGGCGAGGAGGACCATCGCACGACCCCCAGCGCAGTTGTAATTGGCCGAATGCGCTGTGCCTCAATTGCGACTATTATCGGAAAAAGGGCGAGGGTATCGCTGCTGTGCTCGTTTTCTACCGGCGCCAAAGCCACCGTGATAAACGCGCGCATGCTCTGTTCATTTTTGGCAACATGATACTCGCGGATTAGAACAAGCCCAGTACAGCTGACACTGGAAAACATTTTTTGAAATGGTGTTTTTTGGAGATGGACAAACACTTATCATCTTGTCCTGAAACTTATTTACATGAAATAAGTCTTGTATTTATTAAGAAATATGAACTTGAAAACATGGAAAAATGGGTCTGTGCATGCTTTCGCCATTATTTCAGAATGAACTATTGACACAATTTGCTATTTTATGGAAGCCATACCTTCACTTGCTCTCATCCAATCTCTATTATTTTTTCATTTTTCTGGTATGTGTACGTGTCAGGTATGCAATGAGGGGTATAAATATACACAATGAGACATTAGGTCCTTTTTAGATGCTTTTTATACTTCCTGCTATAAGTAATATTAAAACTGGAAAATTCAAAAGCATCATAAAAAGCTTATAAATTGTCCTAGAACTTTTATTTACACCTTATTGCAGTGGTTGTCGACCATTGATGGTTCGCGGACCTTTTGTGGATCGGCGGAGATGACGGAGGACCTTGTTCGTGGTGAGGGGAAGGGAATTATATATAGGTTATGATAATGTTTATACAAATGGATATAGTAACTAAGGGCTAGTGTGAAGTAGACTTCTCTCATTGACATACCCACAAGGAAACACCTGCAAATAAAAATGTTTCCTCTCACTCAAAAAAAAAAACTTTTATTACCGGGTTTGACTGATTAGGCAGGGCTTCGCGGACCCCTAGAATACCTTTGCAAGCCCCAAGGGGTTTGTGAACCCCCATTTGACAAACACTGCCATTTTGGATTCCACATACCTCTCAGTTCACTGAGATAAGTTTAATTTTTGATTTCAGTATTTCAGTTTGTCCTAGTCCTGCCCCCAATCTTTGCAGCAAAGTTTTCAATATTAAAAATAATTAGGCTACATCAAAACCAAGCACATATTTGTAGCCGGATTATAAAGTCCGATAAGCTATGTGAATTTTATTTTAATTGTATCCAAAGTTATATAAAAAAAAAAAAAAAATCTAGAACCAGAGTTGAGCTGGATTTACTGACTGAAACTCTGGCCGCTTTACTACAGCCTGTCTCTTCACCAGGCATAGAAACGGCAAAGTTTTCCGAGTGTGATTGTTGAACCGTTGTCAACACACTCGACTTGAGCAAGACTTTTTTTTTCTTGTTTTATTTTGGGGCTAAGGAGTCGCGCAGGGACAGCGGTGTTCGGGGAAAGAACGCACGCTACTGCTCTAACAGCAGGCACTCCCTGCCCTGCCTGCGTGCACGTGCCCTTCCCCTTACTTTTGCCATACTCCCCTTTTTCTTTTTTTTTTTTACGGTTGTTGTTTTCTTTTTTAAAACTGCTCTTTCGCTGCATATCCCCCCCTCCCCCCGTATCCTGTGCGCATATGCTGGCTTGATGGTCTGCTAGCCCCGCAACGCAAGCTATGTGCTCACCGCCGGCGCAGTCTGACCGCGGGAGGAGGGACGGGCAGCCGTGCTTTGTTCGCTATATCAAGTGCCCCCGCCATGGGACTTCAATACGAAAAACAGTGCTCCCATACTATTACATGTGATTTTCAAAAAGATGTTTGGACTGTTTCCTATAAACAATAATTCGAAAAACCTGGGTTTGATATAACCGGGCTCGACTGTATGTAGCTTTGATGCAGAAGAGAGGAGGTTTACGTAGGGTGACATTGTGACGTCATGTTATACCTGACCATGTGACAATGTGATGTCATGTCGATTTGACAAATGGTCACGTGGTCTTGTGACACCATGGCATCACAGAGGACCTATAAATACTACATATTTAGAGTGCCCTTGGGTTATATCAAAGAGGCAGGTAAGCGATCCCTCGTTATAACAAAATCGCTTTTTTCAAATTATCGCTTTTATCGTAGTTCAATGTGGTCCTGACCGAAATGCGTGCATTTTGAACTTGATTATTTGAAGTGCATCGGCTGCCAACCACGCTCGTTACGAAGGCCGAGGGGCTGAAAGCATGCGAGCCTGCACGGAGGCGCACGGAGACCCTTGTGTTCCCTGCCCCTTCTCCACCGAGGCAAACGGCAAACCGATAAAACGGCAAACAAGAAAAGTGAGCAAATGCGTGACGGAGGGCAGAACGCGCAGAGCACCGCTTTCGATGCCGATGCGCCGACGCAACCAGGGAGCAGCGGGTGCAGCATCCACATTCCGATACTACTCTCGGCGCGTGCGGCCAACGCTGCCCTACTCCTGCCAGAATTGGGTCAAGGGAGCGATGCAGCTGATGGAGCCCGGAAGAGATCATCCCTTCGAGAGCCCCCGACGCGCGCGTCTGCGAGGGTGCACCTGTGGTGCACACGTGCGTCATGGGGGGAGCTGGAGTGTTTACCGAAAGCCGCCTTGATCTGCGAGGTTGAGAAAAGTGGCCGGCCTAAGCCCGACATTGCCGAAGAATTCAACATTCTGGCATCGGCTGTTCGACACTGTCCACCGTTTGTGCGGAACAAGCAAGGCATACTGGACGGTTCGAGAAGTTTCTCATGCAAGAGAAAATACGCCTGCGACCCGAAGATGAAAAATCGCCAACTGCTTTGCGCACTTCGGATTTTCTCTCGCGAGCATGCTTGCCGAGCTGGCGCACGATTTCCAAAGCTGCAATGATCTCTACAGGAGTGTGTGTAAACACGTTGGCGAAGCCACTGAGGATAACTTTGATTCGTTCGCACTTGTCGATGCAGACATTCCCGATGTTGCTTCTGCCACAGATGGTGTGATCGTAGACATTGAGTATGGCCAGGGTAAACACAAAGTGCATCGGAGAGGCACCTCGGGAAACGCTGACGACTGCAGAGTCGCGAAACATCCTACGGCTTCTTCTGAACAGAGTGAAGTGCAGCGGCAGTGACAGTGTTCTTGTTATGCCTGGAGCAGTCAGGGGAGAACTGATGCCCGTATGAAGACTCCACCTAATATTTTTTGCGCGGTAAAGCTGTCTCTAGTTGTTTATAACCAAGGTTTGCTTGATTCAATATACGGTCAGAGTGTTCCGCAGTGTTCCCTTCCACCTTCCAGGCTCCTGTCATTGTTTTGCTGGCTTTCTCGCTTTTGTCAAATTACCGCCTATACCGTAAACAGTTTTTGCTGTCCCGTTGTCTTCGGTATAATGAGGGATTATGGTAGCTTTTCTTTGAGGTATAATTAAATTACTGTCCATTCTTGCTTTTAATATCGTAGCAAAACAAAGGAGGGCCTGCGAGGTAGCGGTAAGAGGTAGTGTTTTGAAGGGGTGATGATGCAGTCATGCTGTTGCAGTGCTTCACCCGGTGCAGTGCGACGGCTGCAACCGGGACTCGTTCCTGGGCTTCCGCTACAAGTGCCAGCGCTGCTACAACTACCAGCTGTGCCAGGACTGCTTCTGGAGGGGCCGGGTGTCCGGCTCCCACACCAACCAGCATGAGATGAAGGAATATGCCGTCTACGTGAGTGCCCCACCTTCTTTCTCGTTTCTTAGCCAAGGGAGTAATATTTATTGCCTAATGAGTAATACGTGCAGAACCAAGTAGATGGACATTGTGCTTCGGGTAACTTCTTAGTCACAATGTTGTACAGCGAAGCTGTTATGCATTAGGACCTGAGAAAAAATGCATCCGCGGATGTTGACAGAAAACTCCCCGTTGGTCAAATAAAAAGAGTGGGCAACCAGTGTGAATCAGCCTTCCTTGGCATTATTAATATAGTGAGGTCCTGATCCCTTGTTATCATTTCTGGGCATCGTCCTCGAGGTCGTCCTGGAAATTGTCCTTTAGGCATTGTCCTCAAGGTCGTCCTAGAAGTCATCCTTGAGGTTGTTTGAGATGTTGCCCTAGGTATCGTCCTCTAGTTGTCCTCCTCGAGGTCGTCCAAGAGGTCATCCTCAAGGACAACGCCTAGAGGACAACTCTGTCAACAAGTATGGTGCAGCACTTGTCCTAGGAGTCGTCCTCGAGGCCGTCCTAAAAGTCGTCCTTGAGATTGTCCTAGAAGTTGTCCTTGAGGTTCTTCGAGAGGTTGCCCTAGGCGTCGTCCTTGAGGTCGTCTTAGACTTTCCTCTAGGTGTCATCCTCGAGGTCGGCCTAGAGGTCATCCTAGACATCATCCTCAAGGTCGTCCTTGTAGTCATCCTTGAGTTTGTCCTAGACGTTGTCGTCTAGGCGTCATCCTCCAGGTCGTCCTACGTCCTTGAGGTCATTCTGGGCATTGTCCTAGGTGTCGTTTTCTAGGCATCGTCCTAGACGTCGTAAAAATAACAGCTTTGCTGGTCCTTCTTCTTCACTTGAAGTGGAACGGCTCTACAATTCTTTTTGTATACCCTCACTCGTGCCAAACATGCATCTGTTCGGAGGAGGCCAGGGCAGGTTATAATATGCTCTTGCTTTCGTTTAGTTGTTGTAATGTATGCATGTTTCTGTCTGTGTATCTTGCTTAGACAGTTGCCAGAGGTCACAGCCCTGACAGTGAAGGGCATGTTAAGATTTTAGGTGTTGGTAGATTAGTTGCTCCATTTTTTTTAACGAGCACATGCCTTTCACAGAATTGCAAAGTGGAAGGTGCATTATTCGTTTATGCGGTTGACGGCGTGGGAAACAGGGTCTACTGGGGGAGCGTGGGAACCCAACGGGGTCTAGCCACTCCACCTCGGCTGCATATTGGCAGCACCACCGACGGCTGCTGGTGCTTTACGTTACGCAACCAGTTTCCTTGATCTCAGCCAATGTAAATATTTTGTACCTCGACATTCGAAAACCTACCTCCATTGCCGTGTTTGCGTTCTCGCGTGATTCGACCTGCAGGGCTGGCTCGAGGCTCGAATTCATTGTGTCCTCGCGGCGTAATGGGCGATTATCATAACCGGCGGCGATTGCACGCTCTGCGCCGCAGGTTCTATCGGGGCTACATCCCAGACTCGGACAGGAAAGCGGGAGAGCTGACCCTATAAATGCCACAAATTCAAAATGTATTTGGGGAGTTAATTTTCCCGCATAAGAGCGGCGACGACTGCTCTGGCGAGTAAAATGTGCCCGGGTCAGACGGAGGCTTGCGGCTTGTGTGTGCAGAAGTCTCCCAGCAAGCAGCTAGGCCACTCCCTGCGCAAGTCGTTCCGGTGCGTCCCAGACCGGCCCAGCCGGGGGCTGCCACAGTTCCCGGACGAGCCGGAGCGCACCCTCGACCTGGCACACATCGTGTGAGTGGACACCCTCTTCGATCCTCCTCGGAAGCAGTGCTGGTGCTGCTTCCTCAAATAGACCGTTTGCTTAATACCCCAAGTGCCCCGGCCTTCTCTTAAGGAATTATGGGAATGGTGTTCCTTAGTGACCGGTAAATTTGACCAATTTGATGCTTACACACTCTTGAGTGTAATCCGGAGTCATCCTGAATAAGTGTCGTGTAGATCGCAGAGACCCGTCGTATCACTTTTAAAATTTCTTGTCAGTGTCAGCGTTCTTGGTACTGTGCATGCAATCCACCCTTCAGCCATGCTGAGCTGCGGAGGTCTCTTACCTCCGCAGCTTACGGGACGCCAACCTTATGCTAACGATGTAATCAATGGGAAACATATAAGGGGGCTGTTGGTAGGTTTTCACGTACGAACCAGACGCCAATGCCGCACTCGTGTCCGTGACTCCTGCTGGCCTCCGACCGGCGGCTTAGAAAATCCTGAACCGTAATCTCGCAATTTATAGTCGCCGACGAGGCGAGGATGGCAGCGAAGAGCTTCAGTCGTTCCACCTCCAGCTCGAGCTTCCCGCCTTCAACGACGCGACGGTGTCCAAAATGCGTCTCCGATTGGCGCGTGAGGCATCACATACTGCCCGCGCATCAAAAGTGGTCTCCAAGTGACAACGAATGACGTCGCAAAATCCGGAGCGTCGCGTCGTGGGATGTCGCGATCCTGGCAGTTGGTGCCAGAAGTCCCGGTAAAATGTAGGAGTGTCGTCGTTGTTACGGCGACCCAATTCACTGCTGCCAAAGCTTCCGTGGGCCGCCAAGCCGGAGAGTGATTCGCGGCACAACGGGCGGCTGCCACGTACACTGTCGCCGCCGCGCCACCGCCAGGATTCGAGGCCGGCGACGGCGCTACGCTTCTATGACGTCCTCAAGCAGAAATTGAGGGACTGCTTTTCCGGACGCGGTAAACGCACCGTTCGGAGACACGTTCCAGACATCGTTAAAACACATCAACACCTCGTGCACCCCACATGCGCGCGCTTGGAGCCAAAGCTTGGCGATGGGCACGGAGCGCGTGCTGGAGCTGGGCGTTCGAAAGGGGCGCCCCGCCGTCCTCGCTTTGTCGGCGACCACGGTGGGTGTTGGCTTAATCATTCTGACGGTAAAACAAATAGATGCATGAACGACTGTGGCGTCCTTAAGGCCGACGACTGAATTCTAACCCGTTTTTTCCGATGCAGGCCTCCTTCTCCAATGCCGACCCACAACGGTTTTTCCACCCCACCCCACGAAGGGCTGAACGGCTTGCGCAGGTACGATGCCTCTTGTCCCGTTGGGATGCCGGGAACTTTGGAATGTTTTCCTGGCACCTGCACTTTTTCTTGCCTTTTTCGACCGCTATTTTAGGAGTAATACAGTTGAACTCGCTTATAACAAACTTGGTTATACAGTCGACTCTCGGTAATTCAAAGTCGCATAATTCAAATTTTTAATTAGTTCGAAGCATGGGCCTGGTCCCGGCAATCGTATGTACAATGCTATGGGAAAAAAAACATGCGGTAATTCGAAGGCTAAATGTTGGGAGCTGGTTACTTCGAAGGAGTCAAGAACCCTTGGGAGCAAAACAAAAAAAAACCATGCCAAGCGCCAAGCCTGAATATGCAACGCCACGATCCGCGGCCGCTTCACTGGCGTCTCCGCACTAGGCATAATGCAATCTGATGCAATGTGCGACGGCGCCACGGCACGCTGCGGCTCGGCGGCGAGAAAGCAAACAAACAGCCTTGCACGCGCGGCTGTTTGCTTATTTGCTTTGGGCTCTGCTCTCCCACTCTGCGCTCTCCCCTCAAGAGGAGAGAGGGAGATAGGTGGTTAGAAGATTGGGTTGCGTTCGGCGGAACCGCAGAACGGCGCAAGCGGGAGTTTTGGCAACGAAGATTCGAAAGTGTGTTGGCTCGTTCGTACGTGCTTTTGCGCAGCCCAACAATCGCTCCGTCGCGCTGCTTTGGTGCTATCACGATGGCTCAACGGAGTAAGGACAGTGCGCTGGACCTCGCTACCAAAGTTAAGGGGCTGCAAGAAGTCGAAGAGAGTGCGTCTTCAAAGCAGATGTCGATGTTGACAAGCACGTTGAGGTCTCTGGTCTGCTTTCGGACGTCGAAATAATCAAAGTGGTTAGGCCTGGTGTGGTGGTGCAAGGGGGTGACAATGATTCTGACGACAAGGAACTCTCGCCGCTGTCGATTCCCGCGCCGAGTGCCGCTGATGCGGAAACTGTATTGGGCGTCGTAGAACGTTTTTTGTCGGGCGAAGAGTATGCCGAAGACTCCTTATGATGCATACGTAACTTGCAGAGCCGAGTGACGGTGGCGCGAATGCGTCAGCGAAAACAATCTAAGATCGACCAGTTCTTCTTCTAAGTGAGTACTGAATAAAATAAACTCAGTTTCATATGTGCTTTTTAATTCGAAGTTCGCGTAATTCGAAGCATTTTGCCGTCCTTGTGAGTTTCGAATTACCGAGAGTCTACTGTAATGAGAATTCCGAGGACGCCTGAGCACTTGTTATGAGTTGTGAATGCGAAAGCATGAATGTTGTTCTTCCATGCCCTTAGTTTGTCTGCTGTGTAATGGCGTGGATGACCACGTTTTGTTACTGCTCAGGTTGTGGCTGCCAACGATTTATAGAGGCCTCAGGTACCGTCACGTCATGTTACTCATTGCGGAGAGGAGCAAAAGTGGGTGCAGTCCCCCATCCTTCTCCGGCAAAGCCTGAAAGAGAGCGGCAGCTGAGCGCACACTCTTGTGAAGCCGCCGCAGCCCCTCTCCTCCCCCCCTCCCCCCCTCCGGCAATGCCTGACGTGAGAGCGGCGGCTGAGTGCGCGTTTTTGTGAAGTGGTCGCCAATGGCTATCTAGTAGCCGTTTCGCTCAGCCAATGGGAGATTGGGCTTTTCTTTCTCATTCTTTCGCGGTTACAGACGCCTACAACCAGCCATGGGTGCGCCTCCGTCAGTGGAAACGTGCCACAGTGCCCTGCCATGTCATATTGGCACCTGAAATGACATTGAAGCAAAGTTTGTAGATGCGAAAATTTTACCCTGCATAATGAACGCCCCCCCAATTATGTATCAATTTGTTGGGAAAAAAGTGTGTTCATTATGCGAGGAAATGTGGTAATTTATGGCACAAACCTACGCGTTAAAATATGGTGCCCGCCAGCATGGTACCAGGAATCTGTCTTTGACTGTTATGTTTGGCGTCCCATTTGGCCGATGCATTGAAAGTGGTCTTGAAGGGGCAAACTTGGCAAGTCACTCCGTCGGATGCATTGCGGTCCGGCCGGTCGGTCATAGGAGCTCCGGCACAAAAGGGGAGCAGACGCGAGGCTCACTGTCTTCGCACTAAAGGTGTTGCGAGATGCATTTCGAGAATCGCCACGGCTGCCTCGACGTAATGGAGGACGCATGTTTCTCCGCAGTGCCCTGCGCCAGATGCCGGGCGGTTCGGACGAGGAACACCGGCTGATTGCCCGGTATGCGGCGCGGCTGGCACGCCTGCGGGAGACGCCTGTGCACCACGCATCGCTCGAGTCTGGCATCCCAGCAGACTCTTCGCGACAGCGAGAGCTCGTGGCACAGCTGGAGGCCAAGAACAGGTGGGTGGTCAGTTAGTCCCTCACTCGTTCATTCACCCCTTTATCTATTTATCTATCTATTTGTCAATCATCTTGCATATTTATCTTATTTATCTATCTATTTGTCAATCTCATCTTATTTATCTGTTTGACTCTTTTTACAGCAGAGCTGTTAAGGGCTAGGTTCCCCAGCATCGTGTCCGTGTATGTCGACACAAACCTACCTGGACAGCCACCGCCATCTATGTATAAGCGATGGCAGCAAGCACACAACCAGTACGGTTTTTCGCCGTCGCTCGTAGATGGCGCCAACCTTTCCAGGTATCATAGAAGAATTGATAGTTGGGCGCGTTGGTGGGAATTCATCATAGGAAACAGCGCGAAAAACAGGCGACGACAAAGAAGAACCACACGTAAAGAGCGCAGCGCTCGTCAGGTTTGTTTCTTATAGTCGAATGCAACCTGAGAACAATCTTTTAGCCCCACCCACAAGCGCATTGCGCCCATCTGAAGTGCCTCCGCCGTTGAGAAAGTAGTTCGCTAGCAGCGTTACTTTTTCTTCCTCCAGGAAACGTGTCTTAAACTACTACGATATTTATTTAATTCATTCAGGACATTTAAATAAGTTAGAATATGTTTTTGTCAACGAAATAGCTGTTTAGTAAAGAAAGTCATGTCCAATGTACCGTCTTCCCAATTCATTTTCTGTCCAAGATACTGTCTAACATATCGTATTCCAGCGCCTTAGATTGAGGGAAAGCGAAGCACTTATAGTTCCTGCAAATAATAAATATTTCGTAATTTACTTAGTTTTGTTGGCTTTGCGCACGAAATGTGTGCCTTTATTTTGTTGGATGAATAGAAAACAAGAATAATTATACTTTTCGGGTTTTGACAAATCGGCACCCTCCCAAGTCATTGACACCACCACCGCGCCCCGCACTCTTTGTCTTCTGTCATGGATCCCACTGAGGTGACAATCTCGGCTCACCCCGCAGAAACCACAGCGAATTGAAGCAGCGGTGCCGGTACTATGTTGAGTAGCAACGGGGGGCAGAGGCGATAGAAATCCAACGAAGCAGACGACGTCCGACGTAGCTTCTCAGCAGTGCTAAGCCTCGTGCCCGCTTCGAAATTTTCGTTGGCGATAGCGTCGCTGGATTCTCACGTTGTCGCGCAAAAACTGCTGCAAACGCAAGCCGATACCATTAAGGTTTCATGGCGTAACCTCGGGCACGTAAAACACGGTGCAAAAAAGCAGAATAATTGTCACGAGAAACTAGCGTCGCGTTGCTAAGGCCAGCAGCCATGTTGAGCTTTTTTTTAGAGCGCAGCTCTTAGGGGCCCGTTTCCGGCTTAAGCGGCGTCGCCGTCGCCGTCGGCGTAATTGCGCGGTGCATTATGGGTAAATTTCCCCGCTAAATCTAGCGGAAAATTTTCCCCTCTAGATTTAGCAGAAAAAATTCCCCGCTAAATCTAGCGGAAAAAATTTTCCCGCTATATCTAGCGGAAAAATTTCTCCGCTTAGCGGGAAAAATGCCCCGCTAAATCTAGCGGAAAAGTTAACCCGCTAAATCTAGCGGAAAAAATTCCCCGCTAAATCTAGCGGGAAAAATGCCCCGCTATATCTAGCGGAAAAATTTCTCCGCTTAGCGGAAAAATTTCCCCGCTAAACCTAGTGGAAAAAATTCCGCGCTAAATCTAGCGGAACAATTTCCCCGCTAAATCTAGCGGAAAAAATTCCCCGCTAAATCTAGCGGAAAAATTTCCTCGCTGAATCTAGCGGAAAAATTTCCTCGCTAGATTTAGCGGAAAATATTCCCCTAGCGGGAAAAATTCCCCACTAAATCTAGCGGAAAAATTTCCCCGCTAAATCTAGCGGAAAAATTTCCCCGCTAGATTTAGCGGAAAATATTCCCCGCTAATTCTAGCGGGAAAAATTCCCCGCTAAATCTAGCGGAAAAATTTCCCCGCTAAATCTAGCGGAAAAATTTCCTTGCTAAATCTAGCGGAAAAATTTCCCCGCTAGATTTAGCGGAAAATATTCCCCGCTAATTCTAGCGGGAAAAATTCCCCGCTAAATCTAGCGGAAAAATTTCCCCGCTAAATCTAGCGGAAAAATTTCCCCGCTAGATTTAGCGGAAAATATTCCCCGCTAATTCTAGCGGGAAAAATTCCCCGCTAAATCTAGCGGAAAAATTTCCCCGCTAAATCTAGCGGAAAAATTTCCTCGCTGAATCTAGCGGAAAAATTTCCCCGCTAGATTTAGCGGAAAATATTCCCCGCTAATTCTAGCGGGAAAAATTCCCCGCTAAATCTAGCGGAAAAATTTCCCCGCTAAATCTAGCGGAAAAATTTCCTTGCTAAATCTAGCGGAACAATTTCCCCGCTAAACCTAGCGGAAAAATTTCCCCGCTAGATTTAGCGGAAATATTTGCCCGCTAAATCTAGCGGAAAAATTTTCCCCGCTAAATTTAGCGGGAAAATTTCTCCGCTAAATCTAGCGGGAAAAATGCCCCGCTAAATCTAGCGGAAAAATCTCCCCGCTAAATCTAGCGGAAAAAATTCCGCGCTAAATCTAGTGGAAAAATTTCCCCGCTAGATTTAGCGGAAAAAATTCCCCGCTAAGTCTAGCGGAAAAATTTTCCCGTTAAACCTAGCGGAAAAAAATCCCTGCTAAATCTAGCGGAAAATTTTTTTGGGGGGGTCACGTGACCCCCCAGAAAATTTTTTGTGACCTTGGGGGGTCATGTGACCCCCAAGGTCACATGACCCCCCCCGCCCCGAGAGGAGGTAACCCTCAGTACCCTTCCCTCCTCCTCCTCAAGAGCTGCGCTCCAATTCGGTGTTACAGGGAGTTGCAAACGGCTTTCTTTTTTTTCTTCAAAAGGATTGCGATTGGTCCACGGAATCGTGACGTCATGAGAACGATTGGCTGGCGTTTCTCGGCGTAGGATTACATTTTCCTCTGAGAGGCATTTCCGGTTTTTTCTTAGCTTGCAACCGACTATAGTCTTTGTCTGTTTTGCGCGTTGTTTCCTACGCTGCTACGCTCTTATCAGTTTTGGTTTGGACTCGCGATGGGTGCACCGTGTGCGACCGACTCTGGTTCGCCGGAGACGTATCTACAGTCGACAGCGTGTCGGACAAAAAGAAGCGGGAATCGGGTGTGTGCGCATTGCGGCAGTATATCGACTACAGCTCCGCAGGTCTTCCTTCTTCACAAAAATGGAAAGGCTGAACTTTTTTTTTCGCCAGAATTCCTACATATAAAATCACTATTCGACTTTTTCTTCTTAATTCAATTCGGCATTCGATTCGGTAACTATTTGGTATTCGCACACCCCTACCGAAAAAGTAAGACACAGGTGGGACGAGGGACGACTATGGAGGAAAGTGAATGTGATCCCTCGTCCTACCAGTGTCTTACTCTTTTCGTGCTCCTCTCTACTTATATTATCTACCTTTTATCTATTTGACTGCCTTATCTGCTTATCTTATATCTATCTTACCTATTGATCTTATCTATCTATCTGACCTATTTACCTTGTATATCCACCTTACCTATTTATCTTGGCTATTCATCTAGCTCAGGGGTTCTCAAACTGGGTTTCGGGGAACACGGGGGTTCCACGAGCTGGTCTCTTGGGTTCCGCGAACACCCATATTGCAACCCCCCTCCCCTTCCCCCCCCCCCCCCCCCCCCCCCCCCCCAACGCAGCAGGCTGCGCTTCAGGACCATGCAAAGCGCCTTCATCTCACTTTGTACTGACATCGTGATTGATATGGTGGGGATATATGGGAAGCAACACAAGCGAATTTGCCTACAATTGTGCGTCTGTTGATTCTCGGTCGGCAAATATGGACGGGGGGGGGGGGGGGGGGGGGGAGAGTGTTCCGCGGCAGTTTTTGAGGCTACCTGGTGTTCTGTGAGACCAAAAAGTTTGAGAACCCCTGATCTAGCTTATCTAACATACATTTACCTTAGCTATTCATCTAGCTCATCTAATTTATGTATATATTTATCTCAGCTGTTTACCTAGCTTATCTTTCTTATCTATATATCTTATTTAGGTGTCTGACTGCACTCATCTTCACTGCTCAGCTCCTTCTCACTATCGGGACTTCAGATCTATGCATGCTTGTCTCCTAGTTTCTTTTTCTTAGGGTTGAGCTCTTTGTCTGCAAGCTATTCCTTTTGAACTATGGCGCATTGTTTCAAGTTGGTTGGTTTATGAAGCGCATGAAGCAGAAACGCACAAGTTCCAGAACAATCTCGAGCAGAAACTAAAAAATGCTCAGGCAGAACAGTGACTGCTGGAAGGGATACATGATACATGTTCCCACCCTTGCTACAGTCCCTCCGCATAAACACGCACAAACCTCATGTTTCACGATTGCTTAAACATGGCCAGCGGTCTTATCTTGACTTGGCCTGGCCTGGCCTGGCTTCAACTGGCCAGTGTCCCGCACTCCCGTGCGGTGCAACCAGTTTTTGTTGTTTTTGCAACCGCGTGTGTTGTACAAACATGAAAACGGCAGGGAATGCTTTGAACATTCTTTATTCTTCCATTTAGGTGGTGCAAGAACTAATAGCTTTCCTCTCCACACCCCGTTTTCTTTAGGGGCGAAGCTCCTTAGGGTCTAGACTTGTCCGGCGTCCGTGCTCACATTGATGGCCATCCCATCTGTCTTCTTAAAAAAAGAAAAAATGTTTGCGCAGTCGACAGGATTCGCACCTGTGCGGGGAGACCCCAATGGATTTCTAGTCCATCGCCTTAACCACTCGGCCACGACTGCGGGACGAGTAGGGGACTCTGAGATGTGGTAGTAACTCAAGAGCTGGAGTTTTTGTCATGAATGAAAGTTGCATGTAGCCGCTCGACGTCTATACAAGAGAGGGCGCTGTGGTCAAAGCCATATATAATCGCGTTAAACTTTGCATCATTGGCTCAACGTTTATAGACGAGAGGGCGCTGCGGTCAAATGCTCAACTGCGTATATAACAACGATCCATACCACACATTTTCTTTCTGACATGGACCGTTGACTTAAGCGGTGGAGATGCGTTCCCATGGCTTCTAGCGGATCCAAGCTGATCCGCTAGAAGAACCACTGGCTCTGCATTTCACCGACCGTAAAGCAGTAATAATGAAGTCGAAACGCAACCCGGAACTCAGCACTACCTATGAGCAATAAAAAAAAAAAAAATCAGCACCATCAGCACTACCTATGAACAATAAAATCAGTATCATCAGCACCACCAGAGCTTCGCCCCAATCAACATCATTCACCACGTGGAGGTGCGGTCATTTTTTTGCACCCTATCTCCTTCATTCAGTCGTAGGGACAACTTTTTCCCGACTCACGCGCCGCGTGGCCAATCTCAATTCCGAATATAACGCAAAGTGTGTTTTAGAGCACGTAATTTTGAGAGAAAATCTTGCACTATATTCGTGCAAATACGATACTTCGGTGCTTCTCAAATGGGTGTTTGCGGACCCTTTGGGGTCCCTGAAGGCCTCTTTGGGTCCCCAAAGACTTAGGCTGTCAATCAAGCTGAGCGATAAAACTTTCTTTGTACTAAGGCGAAAGCTTTATATGTTTCATCGTTCTGTCAACCTTAAAAGTCCTTGAGCGAAAAAACGTCGGCGACACGAAGAGTATGAAAATACATCGGCGACATGAAAGGTACCAATGGAACGGTGCCAAAAGTGCGTCGTCAGAGAGTGCACTGTCTTTGGAGTTTCGCTATCACGTTTACATCGGCACGTAGGCTTTCGCATTCAAGTCAGATAGTGTTCAGAGGCAGATAGGGTTCAGAGGGTAAAAGCGCTAAAAAGCAACAGACGAGTGAGAGACCAATACCATGAAGTGCTACTCGTAACTGAAGTTTACTCATAGATAGGATGACCAAATTCCTTGAGTTAGAAAACGGGACATCGCAGCGGGGAGGGGAGGGGGAATGGGGGGGGGGGCATACTAAAGATTGAGATTGGACCTGCTCTTCTCTGCGTTCTTGTGCTTCGGAGTTCTAGAGTTTTGATGTGCTAGCTGATGTCACTACGGCCTCCGTGCGCAAGAGGAAAACACGTTCCACAGACTCGGCAAAGAACTCTGCTGATACAATCTGTTGAACATAGAAATGTATACTTATTGCGAAGATCTTCGTTGAACACACACGTGCGTTTCTTTGCCAGTTTCGAAAAAGAGTGTAGTGTTGTCAATCTATATTGTACATGCGTGCTACATCCAGAAACTCAAAAAATATTTCTACAGCCGCATCTTCGCGAGGGAAAAAAGGTTTGTGGGAAAGAACAGTTCTAAATTTTACTCTCTGGGTAAGTACCTACGGTTATTTTTGTAAAATATACTTTTAATGAGTAGGCATAGTTTTGATTTGTATCAACTCGCTTGGTGCCAATTTCGAAACTATGCACTCCTGCGAAAACGGGACATGATTCTTTATTGGGGCAAAAAAACAAGACGGCAAAAGCGAATCTCAAAAACGGGACGTCTAGTCACCCTAGTCATAGAAAAACACGTATATACACATGTGACGACAAAAATGCAACATTATCAAACCAATGCTTATGTATTCTCTCGATTCTAAGCACCCCCTTTTTTTCACACCCGCAATGTTCAAAGAGGGGGGGGGGGGGGGGGTGCTTAGATTCGGAACGTGCCCCGAAAAAACGAAATTTTCACCAGAAATATTAATTTATTATAATAAAAATGAAAGAATAAATGTTCTAAAGGAAATAAAGTAAAGACTGGAGAGTAGCCTGCTTGCCGTCAGTTTGCACCACAGTCGACTAGTCGCTCTCGCTATCACTCGACGACGACGAGTCGGTGCCCCCACCTGGGCTGCTGCTCCTGCTGCTGTTGGCATTCCGCAAGAGGTTGTCTTCAGTGCCGTCACGACGATTTTTGATGCAGCACTTCCTAAAAGACTTGACCACAACATTGGCACGGACCCTCTTCCAAGCGTCTGAGATCCACGTCGCCACGGTCGATGGAGAGGCTTTCTGTAGCTTTCCCGTCGGCGTCTTCTTCCGGTCGGGGCTACAGATCCACTCCTCGTATTCTTGCCGCAAGTTTTCCTTGAACGGCTTGTTCACAGAGACGTCCAGGGTCTGTAACACAGATGTTGTCCCCCCTGGAATGACCACCAGGTCGCAGTTGTTACTGTCCAGCTCCGCCTTCACCTCCGGGGTCAGGTGATTGTGGAACGCATCAAGCATGAGCATGGACTTAGTGCTTTTGAAACCGCCAAGTGATGCTCCCGGTCGCTGCTGCCACACAACTCTGATCCAGTCCTGCATCAGCTCACTCGTCATCCACCCCTTCTCCTGTACCCTCACAATGACGTCTTTCGGGAAAGTCTCGTTCTTCGGCATGTTCTTCCTTTTGAGGATGATGTAGGGCGCAAGTTTTCAACCATCGGCTGTGATGCTCACCATTATGGTCACCCTTTGCTTTTCATAGCCAGTCGTACGCACTTTTGCTTCTCGAGCACCTACTTCGTTCGCGGTGCACGTCCTTGGCATATCGATGTACACAGGGGTCTCGTCGGCATTGCCAATCTGCCCGAGTCCGTAGCGAGATTCGCGACGCAGCTGCATCACATAACGTTGGAAATTGACAAGCTTGTCCTCGAAGTCCACTGGTAGCTTCTGGCAGATCGTGGTGCGGCGTCTCAAAAAGAAACCGTTCCTCTTCATCATCCGCTCCACCCAGCCTCGGCTTGCGCGGAATGCCGAACGGGGAATTTGCCTTCGTGTGGCGATTTCCATAGCCTCTCTTTGTATGGAATTGGCCGTGACGGTAAAGCCGCCGCATCGTTTGCAGCGGACGAATTCGAAGTCCTCCTTCTCCAGCTCCGGGTGCTGGCCGTTGCGCAGTCCCGTAAACTTTTTGCGGGTCGCGGCGCCCTTGAAATTCTGATTCCGCTGTCTCCACCAAATCACATATGCTCTGTCCACTCCAAACTGTTCAGCAGTGCCATGATTTCCGTTGTCTTCCGCTAAAGAAAAAAAACGTTTTCTTGAACTTTATTATGTATGAAATTCTCTTCGCACTCATGATGGACGGCTTCCGCAAGCCATGTGCACACAGTGAACGGAGTACGATTGCGAGGCCAACGCAGACAAATAGGCTTAACAGACTAAACCGACTGCAACAAGCGCAAGGAGACCAAACAGACAAAACGTCTTCGATAGAGGGTACGGCAATGCACCTACACTCCCTATACTACCTGCACTGTTGCGAAAGTGGAAAATGGCGCTATGTGCTGCCATCTATTAACTGACGTTGAAACCAAGCGCCAGCGGCCGTTCTCGACTCCGGCGCTCGGCGATACTGGTGTCTTCGATCTCAAATTTCTTGTTGGGAGGGGGTTGCTTACATTTGCATGCAAACTTTTTTTCATGTGTTTATGTCTGAAAGTGGGGGTGCTCAGAATCCCAAAAATACGGTATCTTACATTTACTTTTCAAAAGATGTTAAAAGCGCCACCTCAGAGCCAAACAGGACTATCGATGGAGTGCTGACACTCGTGCCTTCAACGCACTGTGATATAAGGAACGCTTCGAATATCTCCCTTGTCGTTTTGTTTTGGTTTCTGGCTAAGATGACACGGAAGATATCCGAAGTGTTCTTCATATCAGAGTGCGTCGAAGGCACGTGTGTCAGCGCTCCATCGATAGCCCTGTCTGACTCTGAGGTGGCGTTTTTAAAATCCTTCGAAAAGTAAATAGCAGATAGATAAGCATTGGTTTGATGATGTTGGATTTCTGTCATCACATGTCTTGATTTCACGGTGCGTATATAGTATGTGTTTTTCCATGAGTAAACTTCAGTTGCAGGTAGTGCTCTGTGGTGTTGGTCTCTTTCACTTGTCCGTTGTTTTTTAGCGCTTTTACCCTTTGAGCTATGGATTGCCAACTAGCCCAAGTGTATACCCTTTGGCAGATAGGGGTTTTTGAGGTGGAAAACTTTGAGAACCAACGGCTCGTTTAGTGTCTTTAGTCTGCTTGTCTTTGAGACGTGTTTACCAGGTGCCGTGGTGTGCTTCCCCCTCTCGCAGGGAGATCATGCGTGAGATAGTGCGCCTGCGGCAGAACCAGGAGCAGGAGGAGGCGGCGGCACTCCAGTCGGGCCAGAACCCGGCCCTGCTATCGGAGCTGCGCGCCCTTCGACAGCGCAAGCGGGAGTTGGAGGCACACTTGGCCGCCCTCCAGGACAGCCGCAGGGACCTCATGCTGCAGCTCGAGGCCCTCATGAAGATGCTCAAGGTAGGCACCCCCGTGCACTGGCAACATGTTGTTTCTCTCCGTTGCCGGAAAATCCCAAACGGACGCCTTCCCTTTAGGGATCGCCCGTCCCGTTTGTCTGGCTAAATATCCGTAACATAAAAGTTCCTAACGTCGTCCACCCCCTATATTTTTAAAAAAATCACTCGATGTCAGACGGGAATCGGATGACCCGTGCAATTTGCAGTACCATTATACATACTGCCGGTTGCCAAGAGGCAGCCAAGGTGGGAAAAAGATGTTTGAAAGATCTCAACAAGAAAACAAATACGAAGGTGTGGTACAACCGTCCCAACAAGTGATGCGCAACGCCGCGCTCTCTTAAAATAAACAGGTTCCCACGACATGCTAGTTCGTGGCAGGTTCTTTCGTGTCCTTTGCACCATAAAACCTGAATGTGCTGTGTCTTTATTCTGCGGTATCTTTTTTCGTGACATGGGAGTTCGTAGCAAATTTTCACGGGTTTATCACATCGTGAAACGCAAACTTGCCATGTCCGCAATTTCCAGTATCAGTTCCCGTTTTACGTGGTGTGGTTCGTAACTGCTGCCCCGGTGTTTTATTACTAATTTTTGATAAAGTTTTGCTGTGTCATCTTTATTGATAGATCACCCCATGTTTTTGACCATTTATCTCTGTATTTTGGGTGGGCGTTCTTGTTGGATTTTACGGTAAATGTGGGGCATTCAAGGGCCAGGTTCAAAGCCATGGTCACGCTGCATTCTACAGCAGACGGTTTGCTGACACCATCCGAGGCAGGTTTATTTCTTACATGGCAGTCACACTCGTCCTGCAAAAACTACCTGCAGACGTGTTGCGGGGAGGCGCGCGTCGCTCCGCAAGCGACCGCGCCTGGCCGCAAGGACTCCGCAACGCACTCAAACGCGTTCAAACGCGAATGTGCGTATGGGCCTTAAGAAAGAGGAGCGGAGAAGCCCTCTAAGCAAACGAAGCAGCTTGCGAAAGGCGGCAAAAATGAATAAAAACAACCCAGGGAACTGAGAAAAAAAAAAAAAAAAAAAAAAAGAGGAGCTTTTTTTTTTTTTTTCTTGCACAGCGCAGTTTGGTTACGGGGGGTCGTGCGTGGCGCGCCGCGCGCCGCGCACAAGGAGATAAGAAAGATAAGCGGAGAGCCTTCGCCTAAGCAACGCCTAAAAAACAAAACAGCTTGCGAAAGGCGGCAAAAAAAATTCAAGGAACTAAGAGAAAAAGAAAACAAAAGAGTTTTTCTTTTTTTTTTTTTTGCACAGCTTAGTTTGGTTAGGGGGTCGCGCACCACGCGCAAAGAGATAAGTAGTTACGTAGTTACTTCGATTTTTCAGGATAAAAGGTTGGTTCAATATGCGAGTAAATACAGACGCAAAAATTTTACTTTGCATAATGAACGCCCCCCCCCCCCAACTTTGCATCGATTTTTCGGAAAAAAAAGTGTGTTCATTCTGCGAGTAAATACGGTATATATCAGATTTTTTACGGCATGTGCGGCATTCAGATTATTCGCTACCTGACCCAATATTTGCAGTTTGTCCGAATATTTGGTTGCGGCCGAATAATTGAAGTTCCAAACAGGCAATTCCCGAATTGAATAGGATTCGAATAAGGGGATTATTTTATTCATATTCGAAATTTAAAATATTCGCACACCCCTAATTTAAATGCATTTTCGCTATGACTGAGATATCTTGTAAGTGGCAAAAAGTTTATGGTCAAAGCGATGGAATCTGAATCATAGTATTAAGTTCATTAAACGACGACTGCATGAGCATTATAGGCAGCGTGGCATATAATACGGACCGCTCTTGTCCGTATCTCTGTCGTCTCTTCGCACGCCGACCTGTGTGGCCGTGCGCAGAACCACCAGGCGTCCCCGCGGTCTACGCCCAACAGCTCCCCCCGGTCTTGCACTTCCAAGTCCCCACTGGGCACCAGCACGCTGGGGGCCCTGTCTGGGGGGGCTCCCTCACTGCCCCGCAGTGCCCCCCCCACCCCGGGGGGAGCCCCCGGCGACAGCCTGTCGGGGCTAGGGGACGACGTGCGCCTGGCCTTTGGGCGGCCCCAGGGGGCCAAGAACCTCAGGGACGACCTGCTCGTGGCTGCCGACTCCGTCACCAATGCCATGTCCTCCCTCGTCAGGGAGCTGCACTCTGGTACGGACGCCCTCATATCTCAATCTGCTCGACTCTGACATCTCACTGCTGCGGTAGCGGTGTTGTCGGCGCAATGTGTGCGCAGATTTTTTACCTCGCACCGACCTGGTTTCTACGCACGTGCAGTGCTCACGCCTGGTGTGGGCGAATGCCAGCCCTTTTTGTAAACAGTTTGTCAGCCTGTTCGCGACTCCAGCGAACTATATATAGGGTGCGCGCTGGTCAGGCGAAATGGCGGACAAAAGGAGGTCGTTTTCGTTATTGAGCATGCAGACCACCATGTATTACAGCACAAATTTTGTGTGATACAGTCGAACCACATTATAACGAATTAGCACCGGGAGCAGAAATTCGTTCGCTATATGCGATATTCGTTTTAAAAGTACACACTAAAATTGACGCAAACGTTTCTGCAATCGAGCCCGTGCAAGAACGTGCACAGCACTAAAATATAAATATTCGCTATAGCGGACCACGAGATCCTTACCTGTCACTAAGCAGAATTCAAAAAATAGATCAGAGCATGAGGATATCAATTTGCAACATGAGAAACAACGTTAACTGCATCTGTTACAGTATAGACCACTTACAACGTAACCGCTTATAGTGCAGGACCGGGTATAATGCGGCTTTTTTAAACCACCGGTTCGCCTCCCATAGAACTCCATGTAATTACATACCGCTTAAAATGCAGGCCTGCAAAGGGAAATACCGGTTATAGTGCGGTTTCCGGAACAGCCCGCCGACCGCGCCGACTAACCAGCGCAGCGAGCACGCTTCCCTGTGCGACACTAGATAACGGCGCTAGCCGCAAGCGGCACCCGCGGGGCAAGGAGGTTGCTTGAAGAAGCAGGGCGAAGCGAAGAGAGAGGCTTCAGTTGCCATAGCGACGGAGGGACGCACGCGCATGTCGTTCACGTGTGTGCGTCCCTCCGCTGCGTTGGAGACAACCGCAACGACAGACCAATCGGAGGTCAAGGAGAAGTGTTTGCACGCGTTGCATGCCGGTCGCGGGCCGGCTTCTTCTATCCGCAAACACGGCGTCGGTTGCAGTGATGTGATTGCTGCGCCAATTGCGCCAAACTGCGCCAAGGGGCTAACCCTGCTACATCCTGCTACATTTTGCCTAAATAAGGGTAATCTGCGTCAAGCCTGCGCCAAATGACCAATTTTGGTCGCCTTACAATATTAAGACTAAACTGAGTGCCGTAATTGAGCATGCGTGAGCTAGGTGGCGCAAGCGGCCGCCCGAAACAAAGTACCCTGCATCAATCGTTCATCTGTTGTCTCTCGTTTCGCGCCGTCTCTCGTTCCCGCCGTCTCACGTTTTGCGCTCTCGTCGTCTCGCATGCCACTTCTTTTTAAAACTTTTTCAACAATAGACGCGCTCATGTGCGGACCAGCCATGCCATCAAGCTGTGAAACGAAAAACGTTTTTGCGCAGTGGGAGTTACTTTGTGAGCTGAAGCACTTGCGCCTGAAAGCAATGGTCGTGGGAAAACTATATTCGGTCGAGACAGAACGAGCGGGTTGGTAGAGATAATTAAAAACTTGAGGAAACTTGAGGAAACTTGCCAGTTGGAAGTTTGTGTTTGGCTGTCCCTTCTTGTTTTCTTCCTCAAGTTTAAATATATTTGGTCCTTGTCTTCCAATCATCGTAGCCGCGCGACGTCGGGTGTTGCCGTCCCCACGTCGCTGCAGATATGGCGCTTTCTAAATTGAAACGTAAGGACCGCCCTAATGTTCACCAACGTTCCAGTTCTTGTTTAATACGCTACTACAAAAATCCCTTTAGCTCAAAGCCTGCTGTGTCGAAGTACTGATTGCCTGAGTTTCTCTTGGTACACTTTCTTTCGAGGGGTACGCCGGTATGTGAAAAATCTGCCGCGAAAGAGAGTTGGTGAAGGAAAGTGAGGCTAAAGCAAAGAAGGCAATGTCTGCACGCTGAACACTCACAACGCGCTTGTTTGTCTCAAGTTCACACACACAAAGCGCACACGCGGTGCACAAAGCGCTCTGAGAGCTTTTTGACCCTGGCTCGTGAAGTCTTGCATCGATGTGCTCAGATTCTTTTTTTTTTCTGTGTGTTTAGCTTGTACCTCACCAGCCGGTCTCGCAAGCACGTGCGGCTGGACTGTTTTTGTCGTATCCTGGACAGTTACATTCTGTATACAATTTTGAGAACCAGTTGGCGACGGAGCGGAGTGGCATGGTTTCGATCGAACAGCCATTGCCGCTCGCGCGACAATTTCGCATTGCACTGCAGTGGTCACGTGTATCAACAGTCAGAGACAGCTTCCATTTATTATATAACTAGTCAACCTAATGCTGCGATATTTACTACTAAGCTGGTCATTTTCAAATAAATTTTAATAAGTGCAGCTTGGTTCTCATTCACCTATAACGGGTACATATATATGCATCACTTAACTGAAGCATTGCAAAACGTGTCATGTCATGGGCATTTCAGTTACATGTTGAAAGACTCCCAGGTGGTCTAACTTGACTATAATTTGTTTATTGCGGCGAGCAAAGTGCCCTTCGTTTGTCGAGCACTTGAAGCAAATATTTCTATTTTTGTAAGAATATCTGCACCAAAAGTCACTTTTGCTGTTCCAAAACACTATTTTAGCTGCTCCAAAATCCACCTTTGCTGCTCCAAAACACTGTATTAGCTGCTCCATAGTCCACTTTTGCTGCTCCCAAACACTGTTTTGGCTGCGCCAAAAGGTGCTCCAAAATGGCTTAGGCCAATCACATCACTGCGGTTGTGATCGTCGACGTAGACGGCGTGGTGGAAGCTTATCGTTCCGCGTAAAAGCGCTATCCTTGACTGTGAATTTTTGTTGTGTGTCGCTATGATAACCCAGCACGTACTAGAAGGGAAGATCCACCTACTCGTGCAGCGATGTCGTGGCGGCACTTTCAAGACGGCAGAAACACCCGTGTCGTCGTGTTTGTTTATTTCGACTACAGTGGTGCTTTCTAAGCATTTGTGTTTTCGAACATCGCCTGGATTTCTTATTTGGAGCATTTCATGCCTGTGCTAAAGTTGAAGGTATTACTGGCGTGTACCGTATAAAGGATGCGAAGTTTCACTCATTTTCATCACAGGAGAAAAGTAATTAGGGTTAGCAATCCTGAACGCTCGCAACGTCGCTCCGCAACCCGCGACGCCGTTAAAAGGCTGCACCAGGCAAAAGTCACTCATTTCTTTCAAAATGTGTGACACACTTGAGAGAGAAGTGTACTAGTCTGGCGAAATAAATACTTTCCTCAAACTAAGCTTTATTTTTCATCTAACATAAAATTAATTTTTTTACAAAGGTAAGTTGTCTCATGGCATGTATTTTGGCCTGAAAAATTGATGTTTTGGTTATAACGCGGTACCGCTTATAGTGCGGATTTTTGCGACTCCCGCGACATACATTATATGTGGTCTACACTGTATTCCATTTATTTGAAGACGTGATTTTGGGCCGGTGCCTCTTCACCTGGAGTCCCCGCGCTGGAGCCAACCATTGCTCGCGCTGAAATCATCATGCCCTAACAGACAGGCCACAGTGGTTGCTTTTGTTTGAAGAAGCTGACCAGACACCGGCAAATGTCGCGCCGTTACGTCCTTATATCATGAGAACAGAGCCTGTTCCACGTCGGTATTCATGTTACAAGGCGCAAAAACACGGACACAAGAGAGAAAGAGACAAAACAGGCGCCACTCACAACTATATTTGAAAAGTGCAGAAAGAAAGGAATACAATCATCGTCATCTTCATCTCGTCCACGCACGCGCTTAGCCATGTGACATACGCTTATCGCCCAATTTACAAAAACTTATCAAATAATCTAACCTCGGCATTATAGAGTGCAACAGATGTGTCACTTATGCATTGTGCACCCCTTTTTCTAATGAAATACGCCTCTAATAACTCGCGCGCTTTTTGGCACTTGCCTCTGCCCAGAATCGCTGTCTCAGAAAGGATTGTATTCCTTTCTTTCTGCACTTTTCAAATATAGTTGTGAGTGGCGCCTGTTTTGTCTCTTTCTCTCTTGTGTCTGTGTTTTTGCGCCTTGTAACATGAATACCAACGTTTACCAACTAGCCCAACTACAAGTTCTTCTACAGTATTCGCGACTCCAGCGACCTATAGGGGGCGCCTCCACCAAACAAACATGGCGGCTGAGTCCAGGTCGCGTCGGCTCGGCCGGGCCACCTGAATGGGTGGCGCACTCATTTTAACAATTTTTCTTTTGTTGAATGCCCAATTTTATGGGTATTTGAACTGAGACAGTTAAGTGTAGCCGGTGCACATAAACTTGCCGAGCATAGTTTTGTTTTGCCGGTGTTTTTTTGTTTTTTTTTCTTTTCATGTCAAACTTTCGTTTCGGAGACTTCGATCAAAACCGAAACTATGGGCTCCAGAGAAACGGTAATAGACTCTAATTAGTTTTGATCATCTAAGAAAAGCGGCGAGGGCTACAAAATTGTTCCACCGAGAGTAATTTTTAGCTAACTCGCATGCCTCGACCATGCGACTTATCTGTCCGCGAAATTGAGCTTTAGTGCCTGTCCGCGTTTCAAGAAACAGCTCCAGTCGTGTGCTCGGTCAAGAACACAGGCTGCAGGAAAATTACGAAAATTAGCAAGCGCTTCTTGAGCCAAGGAGCATGTCAACTCGCTGGCGCTTCACTAAGCAGCTGATACTCGTATTTCAATTCAAGTTTTAGTAGCAATCGAGAAGTCATTTTGACGAATATGCGGATTATGTATTATATTACGTACTATGTCCCCTAAAGCGATATTAGTATATTCTTGGGGTTAAATATGAACCTAGTTATCTAACTATTAGTTGAACTGCTGAATAAAAGTATATTTGACAGACAGAGAGATACTACTTAAACTTAGCCAAATGGTTTTAGCCGGTAGAACGGAGACGAATGCGGACAAACGGAGGAGAGTCTTCATCGGAGATTCACTCAGACCTCTCTGCATTGAGCTT